ATGTTTTAAATGAAATTCTATTTAAGTCTGCGACCCGGAAAATCCGGTGAAAAGACTAATAATCAGTGGATATTAAGTTACAATTTCAAACGTGCTACTAATGAAGAAATTAAAAACTTGTGAATCTTTATCCAACGATGATACTTAAAGCCAGTGAGATGCCCTTGATATTTATTTTATAACGAGTTTGAATCTTAGGTCGCAAGACAAGTGAGTCAGAGGCCAACTTTGAGGTTATAAATATTTTGTAGTGTATTGTTTCTAACATCTAACTTGCTACCGCTTCCTAGTATTTATGATTTAACTTTTCATGCACGGCAGTGGCCTTTTCGGAAAAGAAAACAATCAGACCTTTTTTTACTGATGGTAAGACCACTTGTGAGTCCGCGCGGGTAGGTACCACCGCCCTTTTTTACCATCTCCCTGCCTATTTCTGCCGTGAAGCAGTAATGCATTTCGGTTTGAAGGGTGGGGCAGCCGTTGTAGCTATGCTGAGACCTTGGAACTTGTATCTCAAGGTGGGTGGCGCGCTTACGTTGTAGATGTCTGTGGGATCCAGGAACCACTTTACACCAGGTGGGCTGTGAGCTCGTCCACCCACCTAAGCAATAAAAAAAAATAGTACTTACTTATTAGTATTAATATTATTACAACATTGACATTATAGTCAAATGACTGCCCGATAATCTGAGAAAAACGTGAGACTGGAATTTGTGGTCATTTGATTACAAGGCACGTACGAAACTACTCGGCTAAGAGCATTCTTGGACAAAATAAATACGCTCTAATTCTCGTAATTCTACTAGAATGTGTCTTTTGTAATCTATTATGTACTTGTGTATGAAATTTTGGATTTAAAAATCTCCCATTCAGTTTTATTTCATTTCCTCCTCCTCGAATCGTGTTCCTCATGTCTGAGGGTCGTGACCACCATCACCCATGAGCTTCAATCTTAAGATGTTTTTCCACTTTCCCCTGTCCACGGCGTCATGCAGCGCGCTGTACACTGTACTGTCCAAAGCGGTGCGGATCTGATCGGACCAACGAGTCGGGTTGCGGCCTCTAGATCTGTTGCCTTCAACTTTCCCAGTGATCATAAGTTTTTCCAGGTTATCGCCGTCTTTCCTCGCAATGTGACCAAAATATTCGAGGATCCGCTTCAGACATACAGTAGACAGTCTGATTTTGATGCCCAGTTGCTTCAATATCGACACGTTAGTCATTTCATTTAATCTCACATAATTTCCACATTATTCGTAATTAGCTATAAATAGATATATCGCAAATACGGCCAGCAAAGTTAGGTTACTATCCATATTTTTGGCAGGCAAAGAGGCACCGGCAAATGCCTAAGAATTTTAAAATTTTAAATTAAAAAAGGAAGCTACCTCCGTTTCGTAATTCCCACGTCGTTAAGTAATCAATTAATCAAAAAATATATATTAATTTCACTCTTTGTAACTCATCTAGCTTATTAATAACGTAATTAAAATTAATGATTCGACTAAATTCCTCTGGTGTATCACGGAGCGTCGGTCTGTATCCTTGACATTAAAATGTCAGCGTAGTTGCTAGTAACATAAGGTTAACGTATAAAGTTGCTATCATTTTTTTAAGTTTCAGAGCTGGAAGTATTTATATTGAAAGAAATAAATCTTAATGCAAATATTAAGTAACTTTTTTTTAATTTTTTTTTATTACTTAGATGCTTAGACGAGCTCACAGCCCACCTGGTGTTAAGTGGCCCATAGACATCCACATCGTAAATGCGCCACCCACCTTGAGATATAAGTTCTAAGGTCTCAAGTATAGTTACAACGGCTGCCCCACCCTTCAAACCGAAACGCATTACTGCTTCACGCAGAAATAGGCAGGGTGATGGTACCCACCCGCGCGGACTCACAAGTGGTCCTACCACCAGTAAACTTCGTTACACTACATAAGTAGGTATATATATTATATTAAATTCGAATAATGCTTTATTATATTCGAGGGGTACTTTAAAAATCGTTTTTTGTACTCAACGTATTTCCGACATAGGCTTAAATTAAACCACTTCTAGAGCTGAGAAACTAATTTTATTTGAAACACAATTTTCTAAGTCACGATTAATATAATTAAGTACAATATACGTCTTTAACACGTACTTATTTCATAATTTAACACACGCCGATAAGCCTATCAATAACGAGCGTACACAAAATGCATTACATAATGCGTAATCTAGTCTAATTTCTTCTACTTTTAGCACTTCATTTAATCATACAAATAATGAAATGAACTGCTAAAAGTAGAAGAAATTATTAAAAAAAAATTTATCGCTTGAATGGACGAGCTTACAGTCCACCTGGTGTTAAGTGGTTACTAGAGTCCATAGACATCTACAACGTAAATGCGCCTACCACCTTGAAATATAAGTTCTAAGGTCTCAGTATAGTTACAATGGCTGCCCCACCCTTCAAATCGCATTTTTTTTTTTTTTTTATTTATTGCTTAGATGGGCGGACGAGCTCACAGCCCACCTGGTGTAAAGTGGTTACTGGAGCCCTTGGACATCTACAACGTAAATGCGCCACCCACCTTGAGATATAAGTTCTAAGATCTCAGTATAGTTACAACGGCTGCCCCACCCTTCAAACCGAAACGCAATACTGCTTCACGGCAGAAATAGGCAGGGCGGTGGTACCTACCCGCGCGGACTCACAAGACGTCCTACCACCAGTAAATAAAAGGTTGACTCTATATAAGAGGAGCTAATGTAGACCCAATACATATAAAATAATGCAAATCTAATCCAAATTAACCACAAAACAGCCCAAAATACTTCTCGTTTTAATGAGTTCGTATTTGAGTCAAAATCATCATATATTTTGACATATTGACTTCGTATTAATTAACTTTAACCACCCACATAGTTATTTGAATAACAAAATAATTCAATGCGCGCACGCGTACATTTTGTTGTTCTGTTTGCAATCAAATTACCAAACAATACATCATAAACAAGTTGAACGAAACTGGATCGTCACAGTAGTATTGTTATGTATTATTAGCTGTACCCGTAATATTTTGATGTAAATTTTTTTAGGGCGTAACCCTACTTTTCATTGACGTAATGTCAATGAACAATATGTTTTTTTGTTTTCCAAAAAAAGAGTAACTTCATATTCCTATGAAAATTTAATTTGTGTTTATTTTTTTATTGCTTATAATACGGATGTTAATTCCTCGGTATTTTATCCTAAGCAGTTATTTTAATAATCGTTGATTGACTTGAAGAGGCGAAGGAGTGGGTAGTGGTGGTTGGTACTAATTTCTCTTGTACATTTACAAACACAATAAAACCTGAAAGAACAATGGATTCTCGAAATCAAACAACCCGACACTCTTTTGGTAATATTATCCAAGATGATGGACTTGATACAAAAGTCTAATAATATATCGAAAAACAAATAGTTTAATACCATTCCCTCTTGTTTATTTGACGTTTTGTTTTCTTTGTTTAGTAGCTATTGACATTCTTAATGTTATCAATGTTCCGTGGGAAATAGATTTTGTTTTCTTCTAAATAACGAAATAAAAGAGAAACATATTATAATGAATCTAAAGTTAATTTGAATGTTTATGTTCGAATGTCACTCATTGAGCGAACACTAGTTGAATTAATTACGTATGCGTAAAATACTTGTACATAAATAATGGCGTTAAAGTAAAATTTATAATAGTGATTATCTATACGGCTTTATTATTTTCATTAGATTAATAATAGCTTTTGACATTCACATGCAAGACCTCCACATACCGCGGTTCGATTACGTGCGTATTGCTGTCGTGTCGTTTCTTTGAACTATTAGCCAATAATACGTATAAGAGTACTTATGTTGATAGATATGTTAGATAGATAGTTAATATTACATATAGTGTGGTATTATTTATCATTAACTTTAAATTTATGGCACAATATCAGTGTCTATCATTGACCCGCTTTTATTAGCTTGGTACGGAAATGAATCTTTGAACGTCATTTTCTCAGGATCCAATACGTCCAATTAACTTGAAAATTTACACACGCATGAAGAATCGATGACAATAAAATAATTTTATAACTTAGCTCTCATATCCTGACTGATATCAACAGGATAAAAAATGAATCTAATTGTTCGGTTTTTTGTTTAAGCGTTTTTATTTATTACTTAGGTTGGTGGACGAGCTCACGGCCTACCCGATGTTAAGTGGTTACTGAAGCTCATAGACGTCTACAACGTAAATGCCGCCACCTACCTTGAGATATGAGTTCTAAGGTCTCAGTTTTTCCAGTATAGTGGCTGCCCCATCCTTCAAACCGAAACGCTTTAATGCTTCACGGCAGAAATAAGCAGGGTGGTGGTACCTACCCGTGCTGACTCACAAGGCGTCCTACCACCAGTAATTACGCAAATTATAATTTGAAACGTTTTTAAGTTGCGTATGGTATTTTCTGTGTGTCGTAAATGGCGGTTAAGAGAAAACGGAGATTGAACAGAATTGTTTTCGATTCATCAGAGGGTAATACGAAAAATTGTTTTTTATTTTATATCACGGTGCTTCACGAGAACGCGGCTGGCTAATGTCTTGCTTCCCATTACGGGTTCACCGAATATGAATTGACTGAAACGATATTGTGGTTAAAACTACTTTTGCGATTTAATCTCGCGTTTTTTATTCTCCATTTTCGGGACGAACGGGTGCGTTACGAAATTCGCGTTTTGATGTCCATGGGTTCCCGAAACTACCCGAAACCGTTACGTAAACCGTAAATGAAAAAAAAAGTAATGTGTAAATATATTTTTAAGGGTAACAAAATATAGATATTCACTTAATATGTATTTGTGAATGTTAATATGAATGAATTTTGTTTTCTGTTCACTTTAAGGCCGTTGTGCGCTATTGTTACGATTGAGATTTCAGGTGTCCTTATATTTTCTATTATGAAACGTTCATATGAGACTTGTTGTCAACAGATGCGACTCTGAGCACACGGCGGAGATGCTCTACACGCATTTACAAGCGCTGATCGATAGGCCGGAGAATCAAAAGAAATTCGCCGATATCGAACGCAAGCTTCAAATGCGCGGGGCTCTTCCGACCAGCAAGAAGCCTCCGGATTCGTCGCTGGGCAGCGAAGTGTCCAGAGAGTCGGACTCCGGGAGCAACGAAGAGAGATGCGTCGCGAACCTATATGACAGTCTGGCTGCTGAGCTCAAGCAAAAGTTGTCGACAGGTAAAAAGGGTCTAGGTCAGTTCGTTTTGTTATTTTTCAGTAGCTAGAGGCTTCCACACGCTTTCTGAGCACCAGCAACCCGTATCTATATCCGATATCGGTAGGTATACGTTGTAATGCTCTTATTTTATTTTCATGAATATGCAAGTATTATTATGCTGAGGCAGACAGCGCAAAAGTAGCCTAAGCTTACCATAGTTAGTATGGAGATAATGAGGTTCGAATTTACCTTTGCAATACTTCGACGGCAAAAAAAATACGCGCTAAAATGATCTTTATAAAGGCATCTATTATCTATGGATAAAACTAGGGATAGGCCGATTTTACATCAAAGTTTATTGTTTTAAATAAATTGCAATACATAAGCACGAATACGAATTGTGGATTAGGCCACTTTTACGCTGACGGCGTCATTTGTACCTGTAATTTTTATCTCGAAACTACCTCGACTCAATCGAGGATACTTTAACCTAACTTCGAGGAATCTTGTAAATCAAGTCGATAGTAATTTTAATTCGTTGTACTTGTTTTTAGTGTCAAAAAACAAATAACGAATACTAAAAATATTATTATTGCGACTATAACATTCAAGCAAAAAGTAGGCAAAATTATTAATTTTTTCCCCCCAATTAGTTAAATATCTTAAGACTTTAATTTTACCGGTTATTTACTGACCTCCATTAATGTGGAGGTGATCATACCGACTCAGAATATCAATTTCCTTGTATTTGATTGAATATAGCCGAGGAAGCTTTGAACTAAAGTATAGAACAGATCTAAAGCCACTTTTTTAGATCTGTTCTTCTGTGTTTAGATTTGTGCTCAAGGGCTTTTTTAGAATACTAGTGGATAGAGGCTTGCCGAAAATGTGGATGACGCCAACCATCAACAAAAGGCTAATTAACATTATATTTATAGCTTGAATGCAATTTTATATACGTAGATATTTATAAAAACAACTAATTACCCTGCTTATAATAATAGTGGCGATGTCAATCGTACAAAACATAAGTTTTTAACCCTAAGCATTGACACAGCAGATATTCTTCATAAAAAATAATAATTCATACATTAGCCGTACCTTAATATATTTTATATATTTATTTAAATATATACAGCCCTGGTCTACCTAATTTAAAATGTTTACTGGAGCTCATAAGTATCATAATGCTGTCGCTAGAGACATGAACCCATTGAGTTTCTCGCCGAACCTTCTCAGTGGATCGCGATTCCAATCAGATGGTAGATTCTGCAAAGCACTGCTCTTGTTAGGGCTAGTGTTAGCAAATTCTCTGAGCCCATGAGCTCTCCTACCCGCCCGGGCGTAGCTGAATAGCCCCCTAGCTGTCAGCGAATAAATGGGAAAAATTATGGATATGAGGTTGAGGTCTCAACTGTATATTATAAAACGGCTATCTATCCTATGGCGCTAGCTCCAGCGAAGAACTTACCAGCTGACTATTCGCGGCAGAAATTGGCAAGATATTAATACCCGCTCGACCGATCTTTGACTACCCCTAATAATTATTATTACAAATCTAATTCCTGCATAGTAAAATTCGTACGTGAATACGCGTTAAAAACGTATTTACATAATTAAAACTGTTTTTTACGGTTTAATCGCGCGTTTCTAATTGTTATCATATTATTTCCGACATTTCGAATACTTTACAATTTTCCGTGGTGACTGACTTATTCACACGTTTTACTGGCGGTAGGACCTCTTGTCAGTTCGCACAGGTAGGTAGCACCACTCTGCCTATTTCTGTTGCGAAGCAGTAATGCGTTTCGGTTTGAAGGGTGAGGCAGCCGTTGTAACTATACTGAGACCTTAGAACTTATACCTCAAGGTCGCATTTACATTGTAGATATCTATAGGCTCCAGTAACTTAACACCAGGTGGGCTGTAACCTCGTCTATACATCTAAGCAATAAAAATATATATATAAAAACATGTCCTATTCATTAGAGCACACATTCTTATGAATTCCCTTCAACCTAACCTGAACTATAATATTCACAGGCAAAAGTCCTATTCTCCTTCCACCGCGCGACTACGACACGGTGCACCGTCAGAAAGGCAACTTGAACAACATAGACACAAGAAGATGCTTGAACCAGAACATAGTAGGGGTCAACGCTCGACGTAAGCTGGAGTCTTCGGGAGGAAGCTCTGGGATCGGAAGCGATCTTGCTCCGTCTCCAGAGAGGAATGAATATCCACGTCAACACGATAACCATAGCACTAGTGGTAAGTAACATTAATAGAGATTTATCATAGGCGTGTACACAAATGAATTGATTTCTTTCGCCTGTGCAGCCAATTATACCGTATAATAGGTTTAATAGGTGTACTATTAAACCTATTATACCGTAATATAACATTACCCCAAATTGACGCAATTATTTATTTCTCAATGTTAATTATTCGTTAGTAGAGCAAACAAATCAACAAACAACAAATTAACAGCTAACCTAAGATATAATGTTTTTAAGGGGGCTGTATTCATTTGATTCATTCTGATTTAAATTAATTATGCTGAAGACATGAAGCATATTATTCCTTTTTTTAAATTGGTATTTAATACTTAAAAAAATATTAATTTCAGCGTCACTGTTGCCATATAGTAAAGACCGTTCGATACCTAATTTCAGAGTTCAATATTAATAATAAACTCTTTTAAGTTCTTTAAGAATATATAATACAAACTGATTAATTAATTATTAATATTTTTTGAGTTATGATCCAAAATCTAAATGTATTATAATAACATTTTTCATGTTAGTTTGTAAATGAAAAATGCTATTTTCATTTAATTGGAATGACCCAATGTCTATTATTAGAATATTTATTAGGAATTAAAACCAATTTAAACTTGTTGTTTGACTACGTAAACCGGGTTAAGAAACTTCATTCCAAAAACGGTTTTGTTCCGCCCAACAAACTCTATAGTTCATAGTCAGCCAAATTACGCCATGATTGGATAATGCGGGGTTTTTATAAATTGTGTTTACGTTGTTCTTAACCTCCGCCATTATGCTGCGTTGCGTATTATCTTCGGAAGAACAAAAAACATTTCCGTATTCATGATTGAAGCTTATTTTTAAATTGGGACTCATTTGTCTTAAAAATGTTAACGATAGTAGATACAGTTTTGTTTACTACATTTTTTTTTTTTTTGAGTTGGGTTGACGAGCTCACGGCTCACCTAGTCTTAAGTAGTTACCGAAGTCCATAGACATCTACAATGAAAATGGCACCACCCACCTTGATTCATGAATTCTAACGTAACAGCTTACAGTACACAGTGTTTCTTATGTGTTCATTGAAAACAAAGAAGGAAAGATATATATTCGAATTATTTGAAATTAAATTTCCCTGTTAATGAAACAGATATTTTTTTCGTGAACACATCTGTTCCTCAAGTACGACCGTATTTTCTAAAAAATCCCGTATTGCTATAGAAACTATTTATAATGATAAATTACATTATTGACTCAATTCGATTTGCTGTCGGAACAATATTCATTCAAACATTGACATGGAATATGCAAATGTAAATTTGAAAACGCAAAAAAGCTCATATATGAAGTCACCGTGTCTTAAAAGATAAGACGGCGCATTCATAAAGCTATGCGATTATACTGATGTTCGAGTCCCGCATGCATGTAACAATTTTTGTAAAGAATTACGTACCTGACATGTATGTATTCGTGACTGATTCCCACAATGAAAGAACAATATCTTTGTTCTTCCCACTGAGAAGATCAGCGAGAAACTCAGTGGGCTGTGTCTGTGGGTTAATTTACTCCCCGTGCCCTTTGTCGTAAGCGACAGGTTCGACGAGAACGATGACCGGTGCTTGAGGTACCTAAAAGCACGGTTAGTGCATTGGGAGGATCCGAAATAACGTGTTTTAGGCGACGTCGACTGTTTACCATTCGGTCCGCGGGATCATGAATGTCATTTTATCGAAAGTTTATTAATCTCCTAATAAATTTCCGTAATAACTGGTGGTAGTATGCCAACTCGAGCATGTACCAACATCCGGCCTATTTCTGCCGCACCGCAGTCTTGCGATGCGGTCTGAAGGGTGCAATTACGGTCAGAGAATACAGTTGAAAATTCGACCTCAGATTATTGCACTTACGGTATTCAAGTTGTGATATCTATGGCTGCGGTAACCATTTAACATCAAATACGTCATGAGATTGCTTGCCAATTTAAACAAAAAAAATGGTTAGCCAAAACCCCGCGTTCACGACGACGTGTTTGAAACAGTAGATACCGCGGGTCAATCGAATTTTGTCGTTCATTGCGTGCCATCCTAAATTACTATACTGAATGTAATTGTTATCATATTAAGTTAATTTTTTATTCGGCATCGATTCCAATACGCCTTCCACACGATTCTTCCAACTAATACCAAAGAACAGTAGACTTGAATTTGATTAACACATTTTTATGCCTACTTGTTCCTAAGATGAAATGGAGTTTGGAGCAGACAAACATACAAACAAACGAATAAACTTGTATTTTTGATTTTCTTCTTCTCCCTCTTCTTCTCTGGAGGCGCCGGAGTCCGACATAACCCGGTCTGTTACCCCTCTCGACCGGGTATCCGTAAACGGAATCCACAGCGTTAAAAAAAAATAAAACAATATGCCCACACAGATATTTAACACAATAACAATTATTCGTTCTTTTAACATTCAAAGACTATAAACAGTAATTTCATTGCATTTATCAAGAAAACAACATATAGAGAGCCCGTATGTTGTTAACGTTTTTTATTTATTTATATAAATGACAAAAGTAAATATTTTTTTGCGAGACTGTGATGGCGTCATGCAGTCGTGACCCACCGCTCACTCCGCGGTCAGGTATGCGATGTTTACATCACCAATTCACATTTAGCATAATTATCTTGTTTTTACTTACCTTATACATTACGTTTAAATTCGTGTAGCAGACTCTGTAGAATAGTCAATGGGTAATCGCACAAAGACACATCAATAATAATAATAATAATTAATTTTTATTTCAGAATTAAATTCCATATGAAGTGTTAGTAATACGAAAAAGAGTACATTTTATTTATTTTACATTGACCATGGCTGGTCTTGAGCCAATATGGACTTCATTCCAGTGCCTCAGTATAGGGCAGCAATAACGACTCTCTATCGCGGCCAGGAGGCTGTTCAGGCTGTCCCGGAGCCGGCGCCACGCGGAGGCCACGCGCTTACGAATGATCGCGTAAAAGCCATCTATCTATCTACTTGTCTAATTCTGTAAATAAATAATCAGGGAACAAATCATACACGGCCATCTTGACACAAGTAATAGGATTTCTTATACCAGTGGCTCTCAACCTTTACGTCGCTACTTATTGGTGTGTCCCCAACCCTTGTAAAGCGTATCGTCAGATTTACATATACATTCTACATTACATCCTTTATTTAAGGTGAATCGGAGAAATTTCATCTCTGAGTACTATTTCACATGGGATAAATAAATAGAAAATTGTTTATTAAATGTTAATTGGTTAACTAGGTTTTTCTAATAATGATGTATAATTCAATAAATGTACCTAGAAAGGTTGAGAAACGCTGCCCAACTATAGGATTCAGACTTCGATACATATGTCAGATAAAACAAATTTATTTGTTACCCGTATGCTTGTCTGGTGCTATTTACAGTGTAAAAACTCAATTACGGACTGGTTTCCGCCAGTCGACCCGGATGACACTGTCTTATTAAACAATACGGTCGAATACCCGAATATAGTAAACGCGCCATACAAAATTATATGCACACATATGTGTTTACACACTGACCTCAAAGGAGTGGGTATCACTATTCAGCCCATATCTGCCCGAAGCAGCTGTTCTTTTCGACCTATGTGTAGAGCCTCTCATAACAATTTAATAACGGTTGGATCATGAGCAATGAAAAACATTTAATAGTCTTCATTTTATTGCACATATGGATGGACGAGCTTATAACTCACCTGGTGTTAAGTGATTGCCGAAGGCCATAGACATCTACAACGTAGATGCCACCACCCACCTTGAGATATGAGTTCTAAGGTCTCAGTATAGTTACAACGGCTACCCCATCCTTCAAACCGAAACGCATTACTGCTTCACGACAGGAATAGGCGGGATGGTGGTACCTACCCGCGCGGACTCACAAGAGGTCCTACCGCCAGTAAAAAGTTATATAACCGTAATTGAAAATAAATTTGATTTAAACTTAACTCGTCTATTTCCTTTGAAACCAAACATTTCATTACATTGAAGTACAATAAATAATATTTTCATTATTTAAAACAACTCTAAAGGTTCTAATGCACGTATTGATTATACATATACAAACGAATGTACGCATGCATAATTTATTAATACTTATTCTATGGGCGTGAAATTTCAACGTACTTGTATTTTTTCTACCAACATTGATTACTCGTGACATTTAAAAATACGATATACGATTTTATTTTTGCTGCAAAGTACAATATAATAGAATAAAGTATGCTTTATTATACAACAAAATAATATAAACACAAATATTCTCAGTCGTATGCACTCTTGGCAGAGTGGTCGTATTCACCATTTTCGGTAAACACAAATGCAAAACATTAAATACAAAAGTTACTACAGGAGATCTTATCGTTAAAAGCGAAATCACTTCCAGATAACTATCAGGTGGACAAGAACATTACAGGGAAGATATTAACCGCGGTGTGCTTAACGATCGATAAAAGAACTTTGTATAAAGTTTTACATTTAAAATCAAGTTGGATTTGTTTCCTGAAAATCCGCATAGATTTTTGTCTTTTTCGTCTGCAATGCAATGGTGCGGTACAGTTAGAGATTAAAAGCATTCGATGTACATTCTACATTAAAATTGCTAGTGTTCAAGGGCGCATAGTACTGCACTATCTTTTGTGTAAAAGTTAACTCAAAAAAAAATCCCAATCCCGATCCTGCAGACCGAATGGTAAACAGTCGACGTCGCCCAATACACGTCATTTCGGATCCTCTCGATCCACTAACGGTGCTTTTAGGTACCCCAAGCACAGGTCATCATTCTCGTCGAACCCGTCGCTTACGACGAAGGGCTCGGCGAGTAAATTAACCCACAGACACATACCGCTGAGTTTTTCACCGGATCTTCTCAGTGGGTCGCGTTTCCGATCCGGTGGTAGGTTCTGCGAACTACTGCTCTTGCTAGGGTTAGTGTTAGTAACGTCGCCAGGTTTGAGCCCGTGAGCTCACCCACTTGTTAGCAGCTTACGCTGAAATGGCCTCTCAAGGCCATCAGCTTCGGTAGACTAAAAAAATAACTCGTTCTATGCACACAGGATACTTCTGAATACCAGTAGCTGCACGAATTATAAATGGAAAGAGCGACAGTCGCGTACTAACCAAGAGGGGCATATGCTCATATGCTGATATAGATAGCCATAAAATCGATGCCATATTCTCGTAGTACCTACCTTTTTGAAAGCCTTAGTACATAATTATTGATATTGTCGGAACTTGAAATGGAAACAATGGAGTTTTTTCAGCTCTCTTTCGTTAACGATTGTTTAATATTAGGAAGGTATTTATATTTGATAGGTAATTATTATTATGTAATTAGCATACAATTGTTCAGTGTAGGTACTCTACGTATTGTACTTACATAATAACAATTTTAAAACATTTACTGTTTTATAGTTGCCGGTAACCGCATGTAAGTGGTGTTTTTATTTATTGGATTGACAGGATGAACGGGCTTAAAGCACACCTAGCGTTAAGTGGTTACCGGCAGACATCACGGCGTTAATGCCGTCATCTTGCGACTCGAGGTCTATTGTCTCAATTCTGTGGTAATTATGCATATTAAATTTGCGGGTTTGATTTTTTTTGGCATTCGAGATTTTTAATCGAGGCTAGTAAGAGGTAAGTATTGTAATTGAATTGGGGTTGATACCACCATCCTGCCTATTTCTACCACGAGGCGCTGCGATTTGTATGATGGGACAACCGGTTCAAATTCAACTGAGACTTAGACATAAAATCTATAAGTGCTGTCAGTTAAGTGAGATCTTACACCCATTAACGCAATATAAATCTTTTCAATCACGTCCTTAAACTCGTTTTTAATTGTTTTAAATCACATGCAATACACAACACAACAATTGTCAAAATTAAATATCATTAGATTTTTTTCTTAGCGCGTTCGGAATGACAATTGACGGTTTATCTCTTACCGTATTTGGGAAATACACCATGTATAGCATATTAATGTATCTTTATATAGAAATGGAAGTTTACCTCTTTCAATGCTGAGCCCAAAATTCACGTATTGCAGAAATTACTAAAGGATTTTAGAAAAAAACCCACTAAATTATACTTAAATGAAAATCAATGCAATGAATTACAGTCAAAACCGTTTACTGCGACATCGTTTAATACAACATGCCGGTTATAATAACCAAGAACAAAGTTCCCGGCTGAATGCCATATGACCGCCTTATTAAAAATATTGCTTTCTACGACATTGGTAATAACGACATACCTCATAAAACGACCACATTTAACTAATATTTCAGACAATTAGATCTGTTAGAACGACCGGCTAAGCTGTATTGTAAACAATTTGAATAGGTATATACATTTGTATTCAATGGCTTTTAAAATCAGGAAAGAAGACAATAGGATTTACTTTAGTGTAGGGTCTTTTCTAATTCTTAGAAACAAAACACGTGCATGCGGAAGTCAAAGCCCGCTTCTTCATATCTCTTCAGTTAGTTTGTTACTTATCTATACACAAGACGCACCAAAACTTTGTGGAGTTATTCGTGAAACTTTCAAAATGTCGCAAAGAAAAAGAAAACAAATTAATATTGAAGAAAAATCGCGTATTATGTAAATATATTTTTCCAATAATTCCCTATCGATTTGTTTGTACTTGCACGACACACATTAAACATCACCGGTTGTTACGACTATCGGTTTTTACGACTGAATATGAGCAGTCCCTTCGATGTCGTTATAACAGATTTTGACTGTATTATCAAAAAAGTTACACGTGCGCGCGCTAAAATACGTCCGTTGTAAAGTCTAGTCGTTAGCTAATATTTATAATCAAACGCAATAGTCAGTATTCCGACGCTTCGCATTTTACACGCATCAATAGCCACTCTATCTATCTACGACTCGCGCTCAAAGTGTTAAGGAAAAAAAATCTCAAGAGATTTGCGCCCGTTATTGAAATATAATTACTCTCAAACCTTACAATAGCAGATGTGTACTGGCATACAAAAATACAGCACTTAACTGCTCTCATATAGTTCAAGATCTTTGCTCAACCTTCATGGTGTGAGCGCAGCAGGCGGTCATTGAAAACGATGATGTTACGAAACGGTTTGTATCACCATCTAACACCTATACGAGTACATTCGATTGGGTCGCCGTTGTATATTCTAAAAGGGCTTAAAAAAACTTTCATTCGTAAAAATTAGCAAGAATCCTATTGATTAGGCTTCAATTTGACCATAAATTTAGGGACAGAAAACAATTGACCGATCTTGGGATCTTATCTATGATTTCCCAACCCTTCACTCTTTTTTTCTTCTGCTGCATGTGGTTTTTATTAGCGATTGGAGATAAAAACCTATAGACGTCTTTCTTTGGATAACCTTTCAGTCAATAACCTTGTCTCGCTGTACCATCAGAGACAATAAATGATCATAGCTATATGCGTTGCATTGTCTGTCGACTTCATTTTACTTACATATTACACAGCCTTACTTATCACCATATTATCAATTAATCTGATAGTTTAGGTGCAGAAATAATAACTTTGTACTTCATTCCCTGAGTAATTATGATAATTTAAAACAATATTGTCCGACAAAAGTACTTATAGAGTAATGTAGGACCCTCCTAGTTCCCAGGGCGAATAAGATTTTCACAAAGAATCGAGTAATGTTTTCCCACGCCTCCTAAATTAAAAGACAAAAGGCACGACAAAGACAAAAGATTTTAAAGGCATTTTAATGAAAAAAAGAGACGGATGAAAAACCATTTTCAATGCTTAAGTATGTAATCTAGCGTTTTTATGATTCTTTTGTTTTGCACAGTATGTCACGTCTTTGGGGCTCACTCATACCTAGGTAATGTACTGAAATATTTACCCGTATGCATATTAGTAGGAAAACGAATATATGGGTTTTGATAGTACATTTTCTTTGTTACAATTATATAGAGAATATAGATAGTTCGATTTATATTTATGTAATCGACTATATTCAAGAAAGAACATTGCTATCTGCGGTTTAATACGAACGTTTTGTCTTTAAGCAGGTAGTGCGTTTAGATTTATCTATAACGTCACGAAAATTAACAAATAATTGACTAATTTATTTTTAATTACAGTTCCGATTTTCTTGATGTGAAAATAAGTAGTTAAAAATTTCCGCTCTCAATAAAATAAATCAACGCACTAGTTTTTTTTTGTGTGGAAATGAATAGCGTAGTTTTGTATTGATGGTCTCCGACACGCATCTGTCATGGGAGAAAATAATTAAAAAAACTTTCGGATCATTGTGGCCAACTTTCAAACAATAGCGGACAATGAAGAGCTTCAGGGCAAAACAAATGAATATCTTATCGCTATATTAATATAGTTCTTAATAAACTGGATCATCGTGCCACAACAATACATATAATGAAACTGAAAGGTCTAATCATAGTGCTACCCAAATCCCATGCTATTAAAAAGTGCGATTTTTCACTACAAGATGGCCGCCAATCGATGTAAAATGTCGGAAGGGGCTCACGCTTTCAATTAGATTTTCGGAACGAGTTTGTTTGACAGTTAAAACAGATATCGAAGATGAGATGTACCGTTAGCGCTTCAAGTTGTTTTAGCGACAATGGGTCAAGACGAAAGGAATGTTTGCAAAGTAGCATGCATAAAATTATGCTCGTTTAAACTGGGCTAACGGAGCAGCGAACTGTTGTGCCATTGGAAATAATATTATAAATTGATTTCGTTTAGCAGCTTACATTTAATTGTGCAAGAAAACAGAAATTATAATAATTTCTTAAATATTTTTTTTCAATATTCATGTCCTTTCGATTATCTAATTCAATATGCCGGAAAACAGAATACGAAATTACATAAATACACAATGAAATCACTGATATTAAGTACATATTTCAATATCAAAGCGTCGATCAATACAAAATAAATGAATACTTTGACTAGTTAATCAATTTTCATATAAATACAGATAGTGTCATACATGAATTTTCATAAAGAATTTAATGTATAATTAATAATAACAAATACTTTGAAAGTGAAGATGTAGTTTTTGTTTGCTTATTACGATTGATTAATAAAAAATCCATTACACTGTCTGCTTACCAAGAAATATGAACTCAAAATTGTAGAACAATACTATATCAATACATATCCTAATATAATTTTATGTTTTATTTTCCAGAGGAAGACTGGGCAGAGAGCACTGCTTACATGATGCATGAAGCTTTCGACGCATCACCACCACGTCGCGCCACGTCACCGCGTCGTCCTGCGTCACCTCGCCGAGCGCCCTCCCCGCACCGCGCCATTTCCCCGCGAAGAGTATCTCCGCCGAGACGGGCTCTTTCTCCTCGGAACTACGACCGCGGATACAACGAAGACTTCTCTGAACAGTACCGTGACCAACTAGCTCCATTCCGTGATCACACATTCGAAAGACGCTTCCGGAACGAATCCCTAGACCGAAAGGAGAAACAAGACAAATTTATCGACGACACAAACTACAGGAGACGGTACGTTGCAGACGCTAAACCCTCTAACCGAAGCATAGACAGAGTGGAAGATCGTCGATTCGGAAAACTGCAGCGAGGAGCCAGCGAAGGGAGCCTGAAAATCAACGATGCTTCACCAAAGGACAGGTTCAACGTAGCAAAAGAAAAGTTCATGAATCTTGAACGGGAGCGATTGAACCGCGAACTAGAACAACACATGGCAATTCGACGAAGCATATTAGAAAGGAATAGTCGCTCGACTTCTTCTCCCGAGGAAGAAAGAAGGGACGAGCGACCGGACAGAAGAGACTTAAGCTCCCGTCGAGAACCGGAGCGTTCTCCTTTGGAGCGATACAGAGAACCGAACAGGCGGAAGGAGCCAGAAAGGCCAGACGTCGATGTCACTGACCTAGGACACAGAGAAATTGAAAGGCTTCCACGGGTGGGACGCAAACGCGAAGATGCCAAACGGTTCGAGTATGGCGCCGAAGAATACTTGAACAGGATCGAACCGAAACCTCACCGAGATGATTTTGATCGATACAGAGACAGGAGGGAGTTGGACCGACGTATTGACGAAGATGAAATCATCGAACCGGTGATAGAGGACCGAAGAAGAGACTGGAACGACCGGCAAAGGGCATTCAGTCGCTCGCGGCTGTTGGAAGATCAGCGCCAGTCTTACGCAGAAGGAGACAGGGACCGTTTTTACGAGAGGGACTACAGGGACTACCGTGAGCTCGCCGACAGACAGCCGAGCAAGTTCCGACACAGCTACGCCGAACCCATCCCGAGGGGCCGACTTGGGACCGTCAGGCCTTATTGACATGCCATAATAGATATAATAGGATACACACACGTTTCAAAATATACAGGGTGGAAAGAACTATTCACATGGCCAAAACAATGAAAAAAATACATGAAATGGCATTATGATTCAAAAACACTTTTAGTGATTTGACATTTCGTGGGCCAGCATTGTAAACTGGACAAAAGTCAGCAGTCGACAACAAATTGGCGATGGACCGCATTTGTTGCCGCAATAATGCCTATCTTACGAATCATAACTGAATATTTTACATACGAATTTTAACAACTGCTGACCTGCAAGCCTTAGGTTACACAATGCTGATCCATAAAATATCAAATAACCAAAACGACTTCTATTGAAAACTGAATGTTATTTTCCGGTTAAGTACATACATATAATACGTGTTATAATACATTAAAAAAAAATACCTTATTACAACACTCTGCGTATTATTTATGAAAATGCTATTGGTATGCTGGGGAACAAATCAAATATTCATTAGTCATACCGTAAATGTAAGGTAAAATTATGTATATTCGGTATATTTGGTTATAAATGAAACCAAACATAGATCGTGGCGTACTAAACATTCTTTGTTACAGATTAATCTTAACATTCTACGTGAATATAATTCGATGCCTCCAATGAACACTAGTCTAACTCAAAATTTTGAAATTTTCGTTCTTCACGTAAATCGCTTCACTATTTTAAAAGTATTACAAATTCATTATTAATGGGGTTCGAAGCAAGAGTAAATCAGCTAGTTACACAAGAAAAACCATAAATATATCTGCAATAATAAAGATTTTACCAACTTTTTTCGTTTAAACTCTCCTCATAGCCGACTTAACCTAATAGGTGTATGGCTCTAATAAAGAATAAAAAATAAAAAAAATAAAAAACTCCTCCTGTAAACCTGCGAATTTGGAGTTAGAGTAGTGTTCATTGCAGGCATCGATATTCAGTTTCGTAAACTTAACTCTAGATGACATTATGACTTGGATACATAATATGTATTGGTTAGTTAATCATAATTTCAATAGAATAGTGCCTTAAATATATTAATAATAAAAATGGACAATAACACAACAAACAAACGGACAGTAAATATTTTATGTAAATAAAAAATCGTATAGTGGATTCGTATGCAAGTACCTTAATCGTTATTTTAGATTATAACATTTAATCTTGTAAACAAATAAAAAAAAATATTATTGTGCTATATTATAAAACATGTTATAATGGTTTTCAAATTAAAAATTAAATAATGTGTATTCGGATGTTTGTAATTAAAGTCACAAATTGATTATTTTAAACGAATGTACATTAAATTTAAATATCTTAAGCGTGATTAAATTTGAAACAAGACAAATTAAGTCAACAAAAAAAAAGTTCTTTTATCATAGAAACTTAGATGCGACAAATACAATAAAATGGACTGACATTTGACAATGTTAATAATATCTATCAGTTTTAATTGGCCAATCACGTCATTGTTCTTGTAAATACTAATATTTTCCAGTGAAATGTGATCCCCACAATTAGTTCGAAATTTATATTTTGTTTGTAAAATATTAATAAAGTTATTATTTACGTAATATTGAGTTCTTAATTTAAAAGCATACTTTGAAATGTAATAAGCGTACAGCTTTGTAAAATAATATTTTACCTGACTTCTTGTAGCCATATTACAATAATAGTGAGACTGTCACCAGATCGCGGCCACGAATTTAGGACAGTGGCTTCGAAAGTGGCGCATTGACATCAACCCCACGAAAACCACGCTGTAACACCATTCCCGCCATTAAAATCTTGACCAGCCCATACCGTGAGCTTCGAAGGCTAAGTACTTAAGCGTCACTCTCGAATGGGGGATGACATTCGGGCCTCACATTAAGTCAGTACGCGACTTAGCCGCGTTTCTAATCGGTCGACTCTATGCCATGATCTTCAAGCGAATTAAATTGTCCCTATATAACAAGATGACACTCTACAAAACTTGCACACGTTCTGTCATGACCTATGCAAGTGTAGTATTCGCTCATGGAACCCGTATACAAACTAACTCTCTCCGGGTCATCCAATCCCATTTCTGCAGGATAGCCGTCGGAGCACCGCGGTATGTGAGGAATGCCGAAGATAAACGCGGCACATATAAAACCCTGGATGCAGTTATTACTTTCTTTTAGAAAGTAATAACTGCATCCAGGGTGACTCCCAGGTATATGACCTTCCTGGCCCAGGATATGGGTCGGTAGAAGAGCGTAATCGAGGGTGAGATTCCTCCTCCTAATCTGAGAGGAAATCCGTGTGGAGTTTCCCCTTTCAAATAGCACCGCTGTGGTTTTCGCTGGGTTGATGTCTATGCGCCATTTTGGGAACCACTGTCCAAAGGTTACGGTTATGCTCTAGAGTTTCCTCGCGATTAGGGACTTGTTTCTACTCGAGTAGTAAACGGTCGTGTCGTAGGCGAATAAGGCTACCTGGGTCAGCGCCGACCGGGCAATGTCGTCAATAAATAAACTAAATAGGAGCGGAGAGAGAACGGAGCCTTACGGGATTCCAGCCGTGAGTGGTCGCGCTGAAGAGTGGGTTCCCTGGACTCGATATCGAAACGAGCCGTTCGACAAGAAGTCCCGTATGATGAGCACGAGACTGTCCGGCACGCCCATGTTGAATAGTTTGAAAATCAAACCGTTGTGCCATCAACTCGCCGGATCTTCTCAGTAGATCGCAATTCCGATCCGGTGGTAGATTCTGCGAAGCACTGCCCATGCCAGAGCTAGTGTTAGCAAATTCTCTCAGGTTGAGCCTGTGAGCTCATTTACCCGTCCGAGTGCTGCTGGAATAGCCCATTAGGCTACCNTGTCCGGCACGCCCATGTTGAATAGTTTGAAAATCAAACCGTTGTGCCATCAACTCGCCGGATCTTCTCAGTAGATCGCAATTCCGATCCGGTGGTAGATTCTGCGAAGCACTGCCCATGCCAGAGCTAGTGTTAGCAAATTCTCTCAGGTTGAGCCTGTGAGCTCATTTACCCGTCCGAGTGCTGCTGGAATAGCCCATTAGGCTACCACCGAATAGGTAGGCTTAGGAACTGTACTTAGATGAATATACTCGAAAACTCCTTATATTTATGTTAATCTGGTACTTCGAAATATATTTAGATGCGTTACTGCATACGATTTAGATGAGCAGACAAAATGAGCAGTCGATTATGAAAAAGTGAATTTTGAATCAGAAACGCATGCGCTTTTAATAATGAACAGTACTTAGACCTTAAAGTAAATGCCACCCTTAGATATGAGGTCGACGTATGACTTTTGTCAGAGAATTTTACTGCTGGTAGGACCTCTTGTGAGTCCGCACGGGTAGGTACCACCACTCCACCTATTTCTGCCGTGAAACAGTAATGCGTTTCGATTTGAAGGGTAGGGCAGCCGTTGTAACTATACTTGAGACCTTAGAACTTATATCTCAAGGTGGCTGGCGCATTTACGTTGTGGATGTCTATGGGCTCCAGTAACCACTTAACACCAGGTGGGCTGTGAGTTCGTCCACCCATCTAAGCAATAAAAAAAACTGAGCTGTTGTATCGTAGAAGGTTATTAGACTATGATTATACGAAATCACATTGTCAATGTGCTGTCGATACGCAAGTCTTCACTAAATTACTGCCATTTTGCTGAAGATTAATAAAAATCGCTTTGTAATACTGTGAGCTCGTCTACCCATCTAAGCAATAAAAAAAATTATTATGTAGCTTTCATTCTCTTTTGCTATACGTCCGTCATTATGTTTTCTCTCTCATTTAACGAATTATGTATAGACTAGACTCATCCTGAAATCGAGAGTAAACACTCTCGATTCACGTCAATTTATCGATCATCGAATCGCCGCTTAAAAAGTATCACCTCGGAAATAATGGCAAAAATATCTGAAGTACATCTTAAATATAAATAAATAAAACATGTCAAACCTGTTTTCTTGTAGAGAAAAAATTCTTAACTACAGTACCTGATTTCCGCTAAAAACAAATGCGAATGGTATGTACTTAGTCTGGCCATAAATACTGTTACAATTAAAAATAAACAAAATATTACATTTGAATTTGGAATCGGTCATTTTTATATGATTGCTCATTGAATTTTCTCATTTTGGCGCCCAATACATTGTACAATATTTTGCGATATTAAAATGGAGTGGGGTGATAAAGAGAATCGAATCGCTGTGATTGCATTACACAAAGCAGGTATGGAGCCAAATGCAATTTTTAAAATTTTAAAACTCTTCATACGCTTGGTATTAGTAAAATGTTTGTGTACCGGGCTATTAAGTAATAGGTGCAATGAGACCTCCTCTGTTTGTGACAGAAAAAGATCTGCCCGTTCACGTAATGTTCGTACGAAAAAGGTGGTCAAAGCAATAAGGGAAAGAATTCGAAGAAATCCTGTACGAAAGCAAAATATTTTATCTCGGGAGATGAAGATAGCACCTAGAACCATGTCGCGTATTTTAAAAGATGACTTAGGACTTGCAGCCTATAAGAGACGTACTGGTCATTTCTTAACTGATAATTTAAAAGAGAATATGGCGGTAAAATCAACTACTGAAGCGGTACGCAAAGGGAGGTCATAGAAAAATTTTGTTTACGGATGAGAAATTTTTTACAATTGAGCAACATTTTAACAAACAAAATGACCGTATTTATACTCAAAGCTCTAAGGAAGCTTCCTAATTAGTCGACAGAGTGCAACGTGGGCACTATCCGACTTCAGTGATGGTTTGGTGGGTTATTAGCTATGAAGGAGTGACTGGCAATACCGGCACACGGGGCCTGTGTCCAGGGCCCCCATTCTCAGGGGGCCCCGAAGGACCGACAATTTCTCTCACACTTTTATTCTCAAAACATTTTTGTCGGGCACATTACACTTTTTTCACAAATCAGTAATCTTATCAGAAGGTATTTTCAAGGCATATACTACACCATTATATCGATAACTGCGCCTATTCCTACTGTACTATTAATAATATTTCCGAACGCATCCTACTTAATTTACTAAGTACACCATCTAGCGATCACCAAAAAACCAGCAGCATTCTTATATCATTAATAACATATTATATCATACTGTATTTGATTACCTATAATAAATGGGCATACTCAGTAAAAAAATATTTTTTTACTTTCCAAAAGGGCCTCAAATTCTTGTGTGCCCAAGGGCCCCAGCCTAATTTAAGACGTCCCTGGTGACTGGGCCATACTTTTGTGAAAAAGGTATCAAAACATCGGCACAAGTGTATCAAGATACCATTGTTGAGAAGGTAGTGAAGCCCCTTAACAACACCATGTTCAATAATCAAGAATGGTTCTTCCAGCAAGACTCGGCGCCAGGTCATAAAGCTCGATCTGCGCAGTCTTGGTTGGAAACGAACGTTTCGGACTTCATCAGAGCTGAAGACTGGCCGTCGTCTAGTCCCGATCTTAATCAGCTGGATTATGATTTATGGTCAGTTTTAGAGAGTACGGCTTGTTCTAAACGTCATGATAATTTGGAGTCCCTAAAACAATCCGTACGATTAGCAGTGAAAATTTTTCCCATGAAAAGAGTGCGTGCTTCTATTGATAACTGGCCTCAACGTTTAAAGGACTGTATTACAGCCAATGGAGACCACTTCGAATAAGCTTTTTATACTTTAAATTGTTTTATATTTATGTATTAAACTAACACACTGTAAAAGTNTTCTAAACGTCATGATAATTTGGAGTCCCTAAAACAATCCGTACGATTAGCAGTGAAAATTTTTCCCATGAAAAGAGTGCGTGCTTCTATTGATAACTGGCCTCAACGTTTAAAGGACTGTATTACAGCCAATGGAGACCACTTCGAATAAGCTTTTTATACTTTAAATTGTTTTATATTTATGTATTAAACTAACACACTGTAAAAGTAATAAATGTTATTTGCCATAGATTTTTTTTTCTTTTCCTTTGTAACAGTATTTAATTTTATCGCCAGACTAAGTACATTGATTGACCTATTATCATTTGCTTTTAGTTATACCATACCTTTAATCGATTCGGTATTTTCACATAACCGTTTTGGAAAGCGCCATATGGTTGCCAAAGTTCTTACGTAAAGATAAACTTAATTAAGGAAACAGTAATTAAATTTAAGTATGCATTCAATCACGTAGACTATTTAGCGCGAATCAATTAACCGGATGTCAATACCATTCCTCGCGTAGTACCGCCATATTAATATAAGTACGTATCTGATGTAACAACTTGGAAACATCAACTTGAAAATGTCTCTTAGTCGTTAATGTTTGAGAGTGTTAAGTAAGTATTTTATTTAATTACATATGAATTAACAACGTACGGAGAAAAAAAAGACGTGTGGCACTCGGGGACTGCCGCGGCAAAGCTATTGCAAAGCATTTTTTATCAACTTATGCAATTACAATTAGACAATAATAATTTAATATTAAAACAATAATAAAAATAAGACCACGCCATATTTATAAACATTAACAAAAGCAAAACATTAACTGTCCCCTTCACACTCATAAGCTATACCGCGTGAGAGAGAGATGGGCAGACTTTTCGTGATGCTCATGCAGTGCGACGTCACGCCGCGCGCTTTTTCACAAACACTACACCAGCGCAACGTGTGAACGTGTTGAACGTGAGCCACATGGTAGGCCTAGTGGGGGTGTCAGGTTATTTCCGTTACGGAATTTCTTAATTCAGTCGCCGCGCTCAAGGCCCGCGATAGAAGCTATGCAATAGCTTAATAAAACACATAGTAAATATAGAACCTTCGTTTATTTACAAAACATATATTGCACAAGGCCGACTTATAAAAAAAAAACAAAAACAAAATTTTTTATATTGCACTGAAATTGCACGAATTTTTTTTAACACTAAATCTTATCTTAGAGGCAAAGGCATATCAACTTTCACATTCAAAAATTGAAAATATTAGTTATATCTCGATTGCTTATATTATTTCACAAATCTGTGCGACGATTTTTTGGTAATTTAAAGAGAGAAACTTACCAAAGTTACATTACAGATATTTAGCAAATTATTTCCGATGTTATAGTTTGAAAGAGAGATAAAAACTAGATAAAATTAAATAAAATTAGATTGCACCGAACAAATTACATTTAAATTGAAAAATATCAAAATATCAAAATAAATAAATTAAAATAATATTGCGTTTCTATCACGATGACTTCGATGACTTAGTTCAGTAAAGCGACTTTTACACTAGAATATTCTATTGGTCGTCGTTTGAAATTTTGGAAACATATTTTGTAATCATGTTAGCTTTCAAATTGAATTATCCGGATGACTGTATAGAAGGTGGGTATCGGAACTATGTCTAAAAGCAGTTTGCTATTTACTATAGCAATTATATTTTTACTATTTAGTATAGTGGTTTACTATTGGACATAGTTTCGGTCTAGCTTTTTTAAAAATCTGAAGTAAAACTATAGTTCCGTTTAAAAATGTCGTTAGGGCGGTAGTTATAATTCTTTAATTAATAAAGATATATTTTCCTTTTGACGTCTTCAAAATATACGTCGGACCTCCGCAGCTCCGTGAGCTGTTAAAATTTCACAATGGTACATGGAACACGTCATTTCAAATTGCGTTCTATTTTTAAATAATAGCGCGTAAATTCAAAGAGTGAAAAGAAAAAACACGCACCAATTCGAAAAATCGCTTCTCCTTATTTACATTGTCGATCGAAATATATTTAAAATGTTTATGAATACGAATAAGTCTGAAAGACTTTACCACGCGAAAAGCCCGTTAATAGCTATAGTCATTAGAAATCACAAAATTAAAATTATTAAATTCAAATAATTAATAATATGACTGAGTTATTGCACGCTATGTATAAAATGTTATTTCGGATAATAAATAACTAGATACATAGTTCCTTTTTGACTTAAACACGATCGATACACAGCGAACCCTTATTATTATGAATAAGGCGGTATACGTTTTTATTTAAAATAGATTTTTACATTAAAATCGTTATTTAGGAATCTCGTTTACTTCGTGTCCTGTGCGTTTTCATATTATAATAAAAGATTCATTCGTAATCTGAGTAGTGTTTTGATTTAGTTTATTTTCAACTAGAACTAAAAACCCTTTATCTCACATTTCGTAGAATGTTTATTACGTATTTTATGTCAAAATGCGCCGAGAGTTGTCTTAAATTTATTTATTCGTTGAATTAGGATCGGTTAAAATTTTATTTAAATATAACGTAATAAAATTTTAATAATCATGGTAAATATCCCAAGGTGTCTTCGAGGCTCGCGTTTCGGCTCAAAGGTCTGTGATCGAACATCTTTGCGAGGGACGGTGCCGCTCTGGGTGGGGTCGGGGGCAGGGGCGGAGGCCTAGGCCTGCGCCCCCCGGCCAGAGACCTAACATCGGTGCGCTGAGAGAGACGGACATCTGCGAATAAGGCGGCCATTTCAGCGGATTTCTTAACGCTCAAAGCGTCGTGAGAACCAGCTCCCGTGCTTCGAACTGAAATTTAAAATATAACATTATAAAGTTTATTTTTATTTTTTTTTTATTGCTTACGTGAGTGGACGAGATCACAGCCCACCTGGTGTGGCGTCTGGTAACTACCCTCCTCTCACTTAAAAAATAAAACTATGTGTTCAGCATTCATTCGCAGTCTTTCTTATTTCCTAACACGACATGTCCTATCTCTCTCACGCATTCACGCTCCATATCTGTCGTTCAGATTCCGTTCCTACATTAATAATATTAAGAAACAAATCAGGAATTAAATATGTATACCGGTAAGTCTCTGCATGTTCCTGGTCCTGGTGTCCCTGGGCTTGTTCTGGAGCAGCAGCTCATAGTCGAGCGCGAGGCTGTCAGAGCTCCGGGTCCTGCGCCCTTCGCGTCTTCTGTTACCAGCACTTGATCTAAAACGATTATTAGTTCTATGTTAAACTTTTTTTTTTCTTAGGCTGGTTAAGCTCACCTGGTATTAATCGGTTACCGGAGCCCATAGATACCTACGACGTAAACGCCGCCACCTACTTCGAGACATAGGTTCTAATGTCTCAGTTTTTATAGTACAACGGCTGCCCCGCCCTTCAAGCCGTAACGCATTACTGCTTCACGGCAGAAATAGGCAGGGTGGTGGTAACTACCCGTGCGGATTCGCAAGACGTCATACCACCAGGAATTTTTTTATAAGATACTGTCTGTACCCGTCCTCTTCGCTGGGCATTTAAAATTAACATTATTATTTCTCACCCCCACAAAGATTGTCATCATTAACGTCCCCGCAACTGGCATAAGGAGTCCAACACTCATATAAATATTAGCCTATCCATTAAGTACATGTATTTTCTACATGGATAGCAAGTTTCAAGTCAATCGGATGCATGGTTCAGTAGTTATAATGGAACATCCGTAAAAACCACTGTAGATTTATATACCTAGTCAGGTCATAAATTCTGTCACATGTTTAATGTAAAATAATTGAAACAAGTTTATTTATTATGTAACCATTCATATACTAAAATGAACTTAGCAAAACATAGATTCTTATGACACTAAAGTTTATTCAAAATGACCTCCGTGATTTTGAATACAGGCCTTCAATCTGCGCGGCCAGTCGTCTATCGCAGCACGAACGAGGTCCATGTCAATATCGACGGCTGCCTTAATCAAGGATATCTTGAGTGACTCCAAATTGGGATGAGGCTTTGAGCGCGCCTTTTCCTCCAAGTGTTCCCATATCTTGTAATCTAACGAATTTAAATCTGGACTGGAGGACGGCCAATCTTCGTGCCGGATGAAGTCGATTTCACGCGCCGCCAGCCAGTCTTGTGTGCTCTTCGCTCTATGAGCTGGCGCCGAATCTTGTTGGAATACCCAGTGCCTGTTATTGAACAAGGTATAAGAAACAGAGTCCATAAGGTTCGTCAGGACTGTATTTTGATACACAACTGCATTCGTTTTTACACCTTTCTCACAAAAATGTACCTCTGTTAAGCCCCAATAAGAAACTCCCAACCATACCATGAGCGAGGATGGAAAATGACCTCGTTGGACACGCGGAATACGGTTGTTCGCTTCATCACTACTGTGTGCGTACACCTTATCATTTTGTTTGTTGTAGCTAAAAATTTTTTCATCCGAAAAAAGAATTTCCCGATATATTTTTCCCGCGTACCGCTTCAACAAAGCGCGGCATCTCTTCAGTCTCAGGTCCATTAGACGAGCATTCAAACGATGTCCTGTTTTTCTTCGATATGCCCGAAGCCCTAAGTCTTCATTTAACACCCTTTTCACCGTGGTTCTGCTTAACCCCATCTGAAGGGCCAANTGACTATCCCACTACACAGGAGCATACATATGGACAATGTTTAGTAGACGATAGTGGGGATGCTACGAAGAGTCGCACAAAGAGGAGACCGAGAACGTCTAATGTGTTCTATCTCATTCTCTCGCCGGCTGAATCCTATACATTTATGTGTTTGTGTCTCTATGGACTTATTTTTTCGTTTCATCGAGTTTGAAATCACAACAATTCTAAAGAAGTTTCACTTCAAAAATTCTAATGTGTTTTTAATTGCAATCAGTTTTATTTAATTTCTAAGCAAACGAGCATATACCCTATTTGATAATTATTAGACGTGGTCGCTCATTGACCTCGACCATGTCAGGTGCATAGCGAAGCTGCTGCATGCTGCTAGTTTTGTATTGGCATTTGTGTTTGCGGATTGAACTTGACTACATTTAACAACATTTGACACTACATTTGTCAATATTTCAAAAACAAAATCACACATTAAAGTGGGGTTTTCTATTCAGGCTGGGACAGTGAAACGGTTGATGACTTCAGATAAACTTGATTTTTATTACGTCTTTCTTAATCTATGTAACTAAAAACGTCTTAGGCGGTCAGAGTTACACCACGTCCATAGATAATACACACAAATTAGTTATAAATGAGCAACTCGAGCACTCAAAAAAAAATGTTTACAGGCGTCGGCCACTAGATGGCTTCGCATCGATTAGTTTCTCATTGCTCCTGTAGATGGCAGTAACATATTATCAATCCTATATTTTATTTTTAATGAAGGGCTTTGTAAATTTTCAGAGACCACTAATTGTTAAAATTTAATCAATTTGTCTATAACAAATAAAGACGTGTATGATTTATAATTTTTTTTATTTTCTGTGTAACTAACACAATAATTCAATGTCTTAACTTTAACAACATATAAGTTCAGGGGCATCCGCTACAAGATGTCGATAGTTTCTATACAAAAAAAAATATTTATCTTAAAGGGTCGCAGTTTCAGGGCCCTGGCCGCGTCTATCTGCCTTCGCGTCCGGTAACTACTCTCCTCGCACTTAAAAAATAAAACTATGTATGCAAAATTCATTCGCCGTCTTTCTTACTTCCCAACACGACATCTCCTATCGCTCTCACGCATTCATGCTCCATATCTGTCATTCATCCATACCGCTCCTACATTAATAATATATTATTAAGAAACAAATCAAGAATCTAAATATACCGGTAAGTCTCTGCATGTTCCTGGTCCTGGTGTCCCTGGGCTTGTTCTGCAGCAGCAGCTCGTAGTCGAGCGCGAGGCTGTCAGAGCTCCGAGTCCTGCGCCCTTCGCGTCTTCTGTTACCAGCACTTGACCTAAAACGATTATAAGGTTCAATTTTAATTTTTTTTTTGCTTACGTTGGTTGAGGTCACGACCTGCCTGGTATTAATCGGTTACCGGAGTCCATAGATACCTACGACGTAAACGCCGCCACCTACCTTGAGATATGAGTTCTAAGGTCTATAGTTACAACGGCTGCCCCGCCCTTCAAACCGTAACGCATTACTGCTTCACGTCAGAAATAGGCAGGATACCTATCCGTGCGGACTAACAAGACGTCCTACCACCAGCGCTTAGTAGACCTAAAACAGCACCACCTCATCTCCTCCCACGTCGTAAAAGGCGGCTAAGGCTTTCAGCGGAGCGTATCGCAATCCTCAGTGCTGCACATGGATAAGTACTACCACTCTCTTTATCTCTACCATGAAGCACTTTTGCTTCTCGGTTTTTAGAGTTGAAGAAACACGGCATAATACAATTGAGACTTAGACCTCGATGTCTCGGCGCTGGTGACGGCATCCACATTGTGATGTCTAAGAACTTGAGTAACCGCTTCACACTAGACCAGCCTTTCCCAAAGTGGGCGACAACGCACCCCTTGTGGCCGCTGCTAGCCTAAAGGGGGGCGGTAAGAGACCCAGAAAAAAAATGGGGGCGTTGTGTAGAGGCTTGGGAGGCGATTTGTAATTTGTATTTCATCTAGAATGGCTCTTAGACACCGACTGAGCTCTCGCTATAGTGGTTTTTAAGTAGGTGAAAAAATGGGGGGTTTTAAAAAATAATTTATTCTCAAAGTGGGCAGTAGACAAAATAAGTTTGGGAGCCCCTACACTAGACGGACCGTAAACACATATAGACGAAAAAAACAATGCAATTGGAAATAAATTTCAATAATCACACGTTAAAATTGATTATTTTTTAAATAAAAACACGTTTAACGTGAATACTAGGGCACCTTAATATTATAGCATAATATGATATTTTTAAAACAACTAAATTTATTCACGCTCAATGTACGAAAGAAACCCATTCGTTAAAAGTCTGATGGTATTACACCAGAAACCTTCTCTGAAGCTTCAGCAGCAATTATAGAAAGTTCTAACTTAATCGAAAAAAGACCCGCGAGCCATGTAGGTGACAAACACATAATTTTACATAATACTAGAAGAAGAAACACTTAAATAATACTATAATACTAGAACTACTTTTAAAAGATACTAGAACTTTCTACCTAGAAACCGGCGCCGAATTCAATGACTACAATATGGGTTTTGCTCCATTCAAAACACAGGCGCTTGTTGCGCAAAACTTTTAGATGTCAGAAGATCTTCAAGAAACCAGACAGGTTTTAATCAAGAAAAAACTTCCCTAACATCCCACTAATATCTATGCTAAATTTTCTAATTAAAAGCTCACTGCGATAGAGAATATTAGACAAAAGCCAGTGTCTAGTTGTCGACAATTTTAAAGTGAGTTATTTTTTTTTATTTCAAGCTTCGGACAACAATATTTGAACTGTAGGTCTAACATAAAACATTCGTTCTATGGGTATTTTTCCCTATGCCGTTTTCCGCTACACCTGTGACCTGTAACGAAGCAACTGCAATCCTCACACCTAAACAATCAGCATGGTAGCCCACCATCACTAATGAACAATAATTTTAGTCAGAAACCAGTTACTCAAATAAAAGAGCTGATTGCTTTTCAGATTTATCTGTATTATTTGTGACCTATTTAGCTTAAAACCACTCTAAGAATGATCAAAAGGAGGATTATCTCACAACAACGCAAAGTAAAGAAGTAACAATGTTAATAATAAGATAATACCAATACTATTTCTAAAATACTACCAAAGATTCACACATGTAATATTGTCAACTATTTCTCAGATTTTGTGAGTCAATTGAGTCATGTTTGAGTCCCAAGATGGAAGTACACGTCTTGATAAGCCGCTTAACAGTAAGTGAGCCGATATGTCGTCAGCGCATACTATTTGATAATAATTGTAAATAGACATGCTTTAACAAAAACCGACTTCAAATAGACAAAAAAATACATTCCAAACAAATTAATATACACTAAAAACAATAATCATCGAAATTGGTTGGCGTGATATTGAGTTATTTATCCATTTGTCGCGCACTTAATCCAAATTTACGACTTATATGGTTTTCTCATGGATACCATTATCAGAACTAGACTAAATTGAAATGGGACCATCAGAAAACGTCAGCTTTCTAATAAAAAAATAATCATTAAAATCGATTCACCCAGTCAAAAGTTATGAGGTAACAAACATAAAAAAAAACATATGGTCATAGAATTGAGAACCTCTTCCTTTTTTGAAGTCGGTTAAAAAATTACACTTACCTAGTCCTCGAGCCTCTGCCGTCATATTCATCGTATCTCTTCATCCTTTCTGAGTAAGTTCTTTGCGAAGGACTACGAAGGTACTCAAGGCTTTGGGAGCTCTGTATCGTGCCCTTTCTAGGTTCGGCACAATAGCACTTATTGCTGTCGGCACAGCTCTCGGAATCGCACGAACAATAACTGTAATCGCCTTCATAACATTCCCTAGAAATTCATAAGTCATAAATGTATCAGTATCCGAACAATGCCAAAAAAATACACATAACTGAATGAAAGCACAAACTCGCGTCAAGCCAAAACGTTTTTATGCGAATTAAGTTATTGTTAATGTATTGGTTTTTTTTTTTGCTCAGACCATTATTTATTATTTATTTAAACCGCAATTTAAAAAATATATTCAAGAAACCTTATCCTGAAATATATTGTATAAATCCAATTACAATATGAAATGTTCAGTTAGAAAATTTGCTATATTATAATGCCAACATTTATTTTCTTTCTAAAGATTGGTTTGCGATATGGATTTGTACTGTATAGAAAGAAAATTAAGCCATTATACAAATTATAATCTAAATATGTAAATAGTATTACACTTTTGTAATAACTTCGTTTTCTTTTATAAAGGGAAATAAGACATGAAGTGTTTTACTATATGAGACTAACTAGGTATGAGAAAATTAAGATTCAAGATTTAAAAGTCATATATGAATTCTGTTGTGAAATTATGTATAAATCAAAGTATTATTAACTTCAAAGTACCTACAACCAGATAAGTTCCATTAAGAAAACAATACAAATGTTTTTTTTAATACATGTTAATAAGAAAGATTCTGCGAATCACTGCTCTTGCTAGGTCTAGTGTAGCAACGTCCTCAGGTTAGAGCCCTGTGATTCTCACATACTCGCCCGGTTACGCGGACACGCATGTATAGAAAAAAATAAAATAAAAATAAAGATTCTTCAAACGAGGCTTGTGGAGAGTATTAAGCGGTAGGCAGCGGCTTGGCTCTGCCCCTGGCATTGCTGAAGTCCATGGGCGACGGTAACCACTCACCATCAGGTGGGCCGTATGCCCGTCTGCCTACAGAGGCAATAAAAAAAATAAAAAAATAAAAAGATGGTGTTATTAATCCTAACTGAAAAAATAAAATAAAATAGAAAACAAAAATGTAATTCATTAGAATCATTACAGTGACACAAATTATGCAAAGAAAGCTCTGAAATTATTTTAGTAAATTACGATCGATATTGCGCACCTAAATCTAACAACGGTCATAAGATTGTTTGAAGAAACTGGATCGACTAATACGGAGCCACTCAAATACGCGTTTATCGTTCCGTTCGAATAATTAAGAATTTAACTGATGAAAATGTCGACGCAAATTCGGTTACTGTGAATGGAATCGCGGCAGTTGCTTAACTATATGGCAGCGTTGCCAACTCGAAATTCGTCAAGGTGGGAGATAGGGTTCTACATGTTGGTAGTTTCCAACAAACCCTACTATGAAAAGTTGGTAGATCTACCACTTAAGTGGTAGATCAAAAGACTTGAAAAGGTAGTTGTTAGATCAAAAGTTCCTTAGTTGGTAGATCTTAGTTGGTAGGTTGGTAGATCTTGGTAGACCTTAGTTGGTAGATCAAAAGACTTGAAAAGGGTGGTAGATCTAGCAAGGTGGTAGATCTACCACCCTTTTCAAGTCTTTTAGAGACCCTCCAATAAGAATCTGGCATCCTTAATTTACTTTTCTTATTTGAACTATTTTTATTAGAAATCCAATGATAAAACAGAATTACAGGCCGCTAATATTCTTCTTTTTCCCATAGTGGAGAATATTTTGATTGTAATGCATCTTTCTGAATTTTCGAGGAGGAGAATTTTCTTCGTTTTCACTTTCACTCATTTTGATAGTGTTCAATTGAAACGTTTTAAAAATTACAATCAGTTATTTGTTGATTGAATCGCGTTAGATATAGAGTTCAATTCTGTTCAATATTATTTTCAGGGAGGATGGATTTGAACTTTTTGAAAACTTCAAAAGTTGGTAGATAAAGTGGTAGGTTTGATTACAACACTAAAAGTTGGTAGATCTACCGAAAAGTTGGTAGAGTTGGCAACGCTGCCATATGGGCTCGTTCGCAGTAACATTAAGATTGCGGTAGGCAGCGGCTTGGCTCTGCCCCTGGCATTGCTGAAGTCCATGGGCGTCGGTAACCACTCACCATCAGGTGGGCCGTATGCTCGTTTGCCCACAAGGGCATCTAAGCAATAAAAAAGGGGCAATAAAAAAAAACCTAGTTACAATTAAACGTTACATCTACCGCCGTAGTACGCTTGAAACAATTGATTTGTTGCATCAACGATTTTTGGAAAGTACCATCAGCCCACACGCCAAAGCTATTTGGTCCATCAACGATTTTGCGATTGCGTCATGTGGATCTCTCATGGAGTATTTTCCAATCGTAATTGAAAGCAAGTGTTCATATTAACTTTGGAGTCTAATGTATAACACCTAAAATCAGCGAAATTTTCATCACCTTTTTGGTCAAGTAGCGTTTATTTATTTATTGCTTAGACGGGGGGCGAGCTCACGGCCCAGATTGTGTTAATTGGTTACCGGAGCCCATAGACATCTACAACGTAAATATCCACCTCAAGGCATGAGTTCTAAGGTCTCCGTTTTTACAGTACAAGGCTGCCCCAAGCCTTCAAGCTGAAACGCATTACGGCTTCAGGGCAGAAGTTGGCACGGTAATTGGATTGGAGTCATATATATAATAAAATGGGATTCGAACCGGATCCCCGATAGATGTATAATAATTTAATGAAAATGCTTTTAAAATTATATAAAAAAAATTTAGTCTTTTGGTTATTTTTTCTTTGTTTGTTTATTTTGATTTTATAATATTTAATATAATATGTATAATTAATATATAATATGGATTATATAAAATTATCACAAAACCACTTAATAACAAAGTAATTTCTTGATGGAACCAGCACCCTGTATTTTATTTAATCGTAGAATTCAATGGGTTATTCTCAGAAGTATCTTTCGCTGTCACAAATTACAAAAAATGTGAAATATTTTCCACGATGGATCTATTGTACCTTTTATTGTTTTTTAAGGTTTGTATATTATTCTACTTTATCATAAGAGTACGTTTGCTTATGACAGGATTGCTTTACTTTCTAATTAAATCACGTTGGTCATTTTTGGTCAAAATTAGCAAAGTTCTTGTTCACTTATACTCAACAATTTGAATTACAAGAACTACATATCTGCAGCTTGAAATCAGGGCATTATATATATTTTTAATTGAAACATTAAACTGAATTTACTACCAAATTAAAACATAAAAAGAATCGATCGACCCGCATCGCAACCGCCCTAAAAACGCATCCAATTAAAAATTTCGATCGTCCACAACCTGATCAAAAGAAATTAATTCACATCGAACTGTTTTAAGCTGTATTAATTTGGTTTAGTGAGTTCTCAATTCAGTTAGTGACGAGGCGTCGCGGGCCGCGGACGTGTCACGCTCTGATTGTAACCATTTCGTTTCTACTGCTAACACATCGTCCATAATGAACCATAAATAACAATAAACAAGATACGAATTCCTCTGCAGACGTCTGAAGATACAAATGTAATTAGCCGCACACTCACTTTGCGCGTTGAGCCTCTATATAAATGAAATGTTAAAGAGCAACGAAAGTTGAGAAATTGTATGTTTTTAATTAAAATTCGAGATCTTTACTATTCAATGTGAAGCGTATTTTTTTACTTTTTGACCACGATAAGGAAAACAATCTCAGCGATGTTGAATTAAAAAAAAACTGCTATTTTCACATCACCTATACTCCCAACACTATTATTATCTGTTTACTGATATATTCTGAACGATGAAGTTTTGGTAATCTGAGATAAATTCTCTTGAATAAAAATTATCATTTCATCATTATCACATAAATTATCAATGACAACATTTAAACATTTAAGATAAGATTTATAACATTTCTTCCTCCGCCAAAAAAATACTGATAGGGCGGAGATGCGGTAAATAAATTTAGCACGATTACATTCCTATCTTTGTGGAATAGTATTGAGAAAATTTAATTTAATTTTTTTAAATCCATCTTTTTGGCAAACTACCTCATTACTCAATGGATATAAACCATGTGAATTTATAAATTTGCTACTTCTCAATATGTAAATTTTTCTAAAGAGCAATTTTACTAAGAAAATAAAGTATCAATTTCACCAAGCAATGATGATGGAATGCAGTGTATGTAGTTGTTAGGGAGAATTTTGGCGTACCTGTATGTTCTAAATCACAGATTCCCAAAGAATTTTGGCCAAGAGACCCCTTTTTTTAAATTAACTAATACCCTACCTAAACCACTACCCCCTAACTAAATTACTTTAAACATACTATCTCTATTTTTTTACTTAACACAAAATACATATTGCCTATTTAAAAACTTTTCACTTGATAAAGTCATGGTGTGTAAGTGATATCAACCCTCTTTACTGATCCCTGTTTTAAATAATAACGAGACAGACCTTAATCACGGAATTTAAAATGAGATTTAACCTTTAGTTCTATATACATACATAACATACTACGTGATTTTATATAACGATCACGTAAACCACTTAAAGAACCAGTTCACGTAGATTTTACAAGTTTCCGGAAATTAAGAAGGCGCTGCACTGAACGATGTAATCATTGAAAACATTTCAAATAATTCAAGTTCAAATAATGATTCTTTCGATTCTCTTCGATATATATGATAATTATAATTCAAGAAATCAATACACATTATTGTTACTTTTTATGATTTAAATTTCATATTTCGAGTCGTCTTCTTATCTTAAGCAGCTGTTTTAAAAACACGGCAATGCATTTTCAGCCCTCAGATGTGGTAAATGTAATAACGCTATGTCTTTTGTCTTTTGATTCAGCATCCAAAACAATCAAAAGAGATAAAACGATTCAAAAACTAAAATGACGGTCGTAACCATATATGCATTTTATTGAGATTCCCTTAAAAATCTTGTGTTCAATAAAATATAAATTTGTAAATTTCTTTTTCTTTCTTAACCTGTGGTTTTGGCATGTCGAATCCGGAATTATTGATACGATTGAGTTAAAAAAAAACGTATAAAATATGCATACATATAAAAATACAATGTCCTGGCAGACTAAACATATATCCCGGTATAAGATCCAAATTCATCCAAAAACAAATACGCATTTATCTTATTATAGTTTAATTCACATTATTAAGTTTAAAATAAATTTACATCGGAAGCAATTAGTGATCTAAAATTATGGAAATAGAGTTTGAAAAAGCACATTTGAAAAGTACGGCCTAATGTTAATTCTCAAACTAAACTTAGCGCTCATTAAAATCTCAAACTTTCAAATGTTTATCTCGATCTAGACGATCGGTCTTGTAGTCTTAATGGACAGCTGATTTATTCAAACAGAAATCGCAAATGAAATCACTTCCGTATTTAGATGTCACATTACCGCATTTATTAAGAGTGAATTTAAAGAGTATTGGTGTATCCGAAATTCATATGTTAATGACTTTTATTAACCTTTACGCAATGAGGTTGTCGACTCTAGAAATCTCCAAACACTTGATTTACATAAACTCGGGTATGTGAAAACAACGTATGACGAAACGTTTATGGGTAGATTTTTAATGTGAGGTAATAATACATTTCATTTTAGATGTTTTATTTAAGCTTCTCACGAATAAATAATAATATGATTCTGCTTGTCTGGTTCTGATTCTCTAACATCAAACCAACCCAAAAATGCATATGTCAGACATTGGATAATTCGTAAGATTTGAACCCAAATAAATCCATAAAATGTTATGAAACTATGATATCTAGCAATAAGCAGCGGCTTGGCCCCGCCATCGGTGACGGTAAACACTCACCATGGAGTGGTTCATATGTACAAACTCAATTATTGAGATATGATTACTTAGAATTGCTAATATTGGCGAAAGTTTGCTAATATTGGCTCTAGCAAGAGCAGTGCTTCGCAGAATCTATCGTCGGATCCGAAACGCTGACTATCTACAATACAATACCCATACGAGCACAGTATAGTCTACCAATTGCTAATATTGTCGAGAGTTTGCTAATATTGGCTCTAGCAAGAGCAGTGCTTCGCAATATCTACCGCCGGATTGGAAACGCTAACTATCTACAATACAATACCCATACGAGCACAGTATAGTCTACCAATTGCTAATATTGGCGAAAGTTTACTAAAATTGGCTCTAGCAAGAGCAGTGCTTCGCAGAATCTACCGCCGGATCGGAAACTCTGACTATCTACAATACAATACCCATACGAGCACAGTATAGACTACCAATTGCTAATATTGGCGAAAGTTTGCTAAAATTGGCTCTAGCAAGAGCAGTGCTTCGCAGAATCTACCGCCGGATCGGAAATGCTGACTATCTACAATACAATACCTATACGAGCACAGTATAGTCTACCCGTGAACTTGGCGCTTTGAATGGCGCAATATCAAAAATTCATGAAGTGTGAAAATCTTAATAAGAACCCATAAAAATAGTGTGTCTAAATGATCTACCGATCTAAAGATATACAAAAACCAAAACCAAAGTTAATTAATACTATAAATAACTTACTTTGGGCAATCTTTACAGCCCTTAATCTTGTTCAAGGCTCTGGATTTAGCTGCTTCCTTTTTAATTTCAACGGCAGAACAGTAACATTTAGATTTGCAATCATCCTTCATTGAACAATAGCATCTATCAACACAGCTCTCTGATTCGCATTCAGAACAAGACACGTATCCGCTTGAGCTGTTTCGGTTTTGACAGCCAAGCCGATTACTTAAGGTAAGAAAGTCAGATTCTTCTGAAGAAGTTCTTTCTCCGGGCCTGAACACTTTGCCGTTTCGTTTCGATACGTGAACTATTTTATCTGCACGCTTCGAATTCCTCGGTCTGCTGACTTGTCGTTTTGGGGGCGGTAGCATCGGCTCTTTAGGTCGAAACTGTCTGATGTCATAGCTCGATGTTGACACTGAGCTTTCTGATATGGGCTCCTTGGGTTGGGCAGGGTTTTGGAATTCTAACGATGTAAGTGGGGCTTGCGGATCTGCTTTTTTCACATCTTTCCCGAACGGCAACCGAAACACCATCCGGAGACCGTTCGCACCTTTAAAAATTTTACGTCTCTTGTTCTGAAAAATACTGTTCCGTCTTAATACTTTCTTCTTTTGCTTCTTCATTATGGCTTTGCTGTGCTGAAATATTTCGTCTTTCGTTAGTGTTACTGCAAGCTTCAACAGAAACTCTTTATAGATCGGTTTCAGGTCGTTGAAAGACATTCCTTCCGCGTCGATAATAGCACTAAGGATCTCATCCATCGAATGTAAATTCTCTTGAACCTTGAATTCATTGAAAAGTTCGCTGAATCCCAGCGGTGAACCTCCGCCTTTCTTACCGTTGTTTCTGAAAACGAAATGAGTGTCGCTTAATACGCAAATAACAAAGGAGAAAATGGACATACGAGTATTGTTGGAGTATAGAAATGGATGAGTCGAAATTCCTAAGCATATTAGTCAATGTGTCGAAACACTTAACAGTTGCAAGATAATTGAAAAAGTATGTCGTCGTAAGCTGTCATCCTCAAATGAAACATCAGCAGCAAGTTATAAAAGGAAATGATGCTTATCAAGCGTGCAATTGAGTTTCCAAGAAATGAGCTAGATTTATTGACTTGCAATTATGAAACGGTTCGTGCACATACCGTTGTCCAATCGACTTGTACCTCGTTAGGCCGCCAGCGTTAAGAAAGCTGCCCGAACGAGGGATGGCTACTTTAGTGAGTATATCACCGGACTCGTTGAGAGACTTCCTCCCGCTCTGGCTCCTCCGCAGTGGCTCCTTAGGGGGGTCTGGTGGCGCTTCTGTAGGTTTCACAGGAATTGGTGGCGGGAGAGATGGTGGTCTTTGAAGATTTTTTCGGCGTTCCAACTCTCTAAAAAGTTCAATCTTCTCAGAAACTTTAGTTCGCGCAGATGATTCACTTCCGCTTTGGGTATTTGCAACATTTTGTAATTTACTAATGACTGGATTAGGACAACTCTTCCCGGTCGATTTCCTAGAGTCATGCGTGTCACTACCACTAGTATCATTATTTTTTATGGAGTCTAATTTGGCTTTCACTTCTTCAACAGTAATTTTTCTGTATTCGGTGGGAGGTATTGACATTGGTGGGGCAAAGTTAGGAAGACTTTCAGTAGAGATCTTTTTTGTTCTTTCCAATGGTTGTTTTTCGTGATAGGACTCACTGGCCGAAAACCCATCAGCTCTATCACTATCACCACTCATGGATGACGTGCTTCTTTTCTTTCTTGGCGGTCTGACTGGAATAACTATTTCATGTGGTGAACGACTACTTCCGACACTCAAACAGCTGACGCCGTTTTTGTTCTTCAGCTTCTTTCGATCAGAGTGTCCTTGTCGACTCATGTGTGACATTAAAGATTTGTATAACGTAGCTGCTATAACTATAGCATCTTCGGTCGTTTGACATACAAAACCATGACACTCCAATTGTTTGGCAACTCCGATCTTCCTCATCACGACAGCGAAAAGTGGTGAATGCGAGTTTTCGTTGTGGGAGAGGAAATATTTATTGTCTGGAGGCTCTAATGTTTTAAACAATGCTTGTCTATCAATGTTATCAGGATCTGTTATCAAAGGCAGGAATGCGTAGCAGAGTTCATTGCTCTTGTTTTCAGAAGGTTGCACCACGAATTTTACTGCCGACCAAACTGCTATAGTCGGAAATGGATTTAATTGCTCCAAGTCGCCTTTTTCTCCTTTATATCTTACTTTAAGACCACTTTTGGAAATCTCTAATTTTCCTGTCAATCCAGTTTTGTGGCGCGTATTTCTTTTGTATGCAAAATACAAGTCTTTGAGGGGCGTTTGAAGACCAGAGAGACTTGTAACTTTACTTTCTAGAGGCGTTGAACCGAGGTAATGAACACTAAAGACATGAATGCCTATAGTATCTATCGATTGCCTAGATTCTCCCGCCATATCCGCAAACATCCTCTCTATACGATCTTGAACGGTATTACTGATTTTATCACTCTGACAATAGCCATCTTCGTCTTCGTATATCGTAGCCTTACGTTCGTGCGTTGAACTTGCCTGCAAAGAAACGTTAATTTTATTACACGTATAACATCTACATGAAAGTAAATGCGACTACACACACACCTTACTCTCTCGTCTTTCTAAATCGAGTGCGAAGCCTGCGCCATATTGCGGTAGGCTGGTAACAGACCGGCTGTCGTCGAATAGTGCATCGATCTTCTGCTTGTAGAGCGATATGGAAGAAACGCTCGGCGCCCGTGAACGTCTGGGCTCATCTTCGCGCGCGCTCAAGTGGAACCCGCCCGGCGACGCGCTTTGATTGTCGCACGTTACCATCTGTAAATACAAAAAATTAAATGTGAACCATTAACGGTTTAATTAAATTTTTATTTTGCATCGTCATAAAATTGTTTAATTTAGTATTCTTTTTTTTATTGCTTAGATTAGGTGCTAAGTTGTTACCGGTACCCATAGACATATACAACGTAAATGCGCCACCCACCTTGAGATATAAGTTCTAAGGTCTCAGTATAGTTACAACGGCTGCCCCGCCCTTCAAACCAAAACGCATTACTGCTTCACGGCAGAAATAGGCGGGGTGGTGGTATCTACCCGTGCGGACTCACAAGAGGTCCTACCACCTGTAAGATACCAGTACACCTAAAATACTTTGAAATTACATTTGTCAACTTTAACCTAATTATATTTCAAAGATTTCTTTTGAAATGAAAAACCCTTTAAAACGTGTTATAGGGATTTAATATATTTTTACAAACAAACCAAAATTTATTTAAATTCATTACGTATTTTATAAGTAGTGGTAAGTGCTTATTTATTTTATTTGTCTAGTATTTAGAACGTTTTGCAAATCCCAGTTAACGATAAAAGAATGAGGAATATATCGACGAAATTCAATTTCATAAACTAAATACTTCGATGCATTATGCCGTAATCTGGAGCACCTATGTGTGCTTATTTACTTGTGCGCTCGACTGCACTTTTACGAACAAAAAATAATACTCTTTAACTCAATCGGCCGTACTTGTGGGAATATATAATACATAAAAATACATGTTAATGTGTTTGTGAATGTCTGTTTGTGGATCAACGCGCTCGTGATTCTTTTTTTCGATTGAGTTGAAACTTTATACAAGTTGTTGGCAATACAGAGAAGGAAGAAGAAATAACAAAAGTACATAATAATAACAAAAGTCGGCGCGCGAGTAATTTTAATTACTATTTTTGTTTACTATTTAAAGCTTCTCATAAATTAACGCTAGTCATATGGTGGCCGTGTTTCACTAGTAACATAAAATGTTCAGTTTTCCAAATTTCAAACGTTTTTTAAAGGTTAGCGTTTTTTATTATGGATCCATTAAAACAAAGGGAATCTCGAAACAGCCAGATTAGCTTATTTGCAGAATTAAAGAAATGGAATATAAGAAAAATACAAATATGTAGATCAAAAAATATTTAGGCTTGGAGTATCGACTATTCATTAATAGTTACAATATATTTAATTTACACTTACTTACACATTAAGTACATGACACATTCTTCCTTAAAGCAAATTTGATAAAAGATACAACTGAGTTTAATCTGTGACCCTGAAATGACCTCTCTAAATACGTTATAAACAAAACCTTTTTTAACAATTTCCAGAAAACATAAAAACGAGTAAAATTCATGATTTAAGTAAATACAAAACATCATATAAATTACGGTACATATAATGTACAGGTTAAACAGGTACCAATTTAGTTCACAATGTAGTGACGATAAATGATTATGAAACGTACCTATAATAAAAGTAGCTGATACCTCAAACGTTCGCTAGGCTCTTTTCTGTGTGCTCAGTGCGAGTTTTTTAGCGTTCTCGATAGCGTAAAAGTTAGCTCATATTTGTATGGAATGGGATCGCTTGCCTACGTTTGCCATTAGGGCAAATTCACATTACGAAATTAGTGGCATGAAACTAATTTCGTGACATTAGTTTTACCAACAGTTTCACGTGTAATTGAATACTTTCGTAATGCATGCATTAATTTCATGCATGGAAATTAGTTTCGTGCCCTGCGCGATTTTTTGGTGAAATTAATGTCATGCAACTAATTTCATAGTGTAGACGCGACGTGAAACTAATGTCGCGAAAGGGCCTGCGCTGTGCGGACGTGTGTATTGTTAGTTCCGACGCGCTTCAAGCGTTGAAAATGGCAAACCAACGATGGAATACAGATAAAAATATAGATCTTATTAATGAATATCAGCGACAAGGGTGTCTCTGGGACCCGAAACACATACAGTAAAAAATCAAAATTATTTACAATCATTCGAAGATAGTTTTTATAACTCTCAGGATCTTCATCTGCTAATTTAGAGGCTAACTTCATTGCACCTAAATGCCTTCTTGTTGACCATCCTCGAATCTACCAACTTTTTTTTTCTTGATAGTCTTTTTTTTAGTTTATAGGTATATAAGCATTTCTTTAGCTACATTGAATATAGCATATAGCATAGAATATAGCTTTGATGGTGATGGCGCCATGGTTACTGCGATACTGTGGATTTCGCGACACTAATTTTTTGACGAAATTACTTTCGCATATATCGAAACTTCTTTCGTGAAACTGAGCTCAACATGCATGACACTAATTTCGTAATGTAAATCCCGCATTAGAGGCATTGTGCCAACTGCATACAAAATTGGGTTAACTTTTACGCTATCGAGCACACTATACCCAAACCTTAAAAAATGAAACTCATCTTTACGGATGCCGCAGATATTTTACTCGAAGACTAATAATGATACTAGATCGATGAAATTGGAAAGTAGTTAGATGTATTTGTACCTTTTTTTAACACGCGTTTATTAGCTTGACATGTTGTATGTTTGTACATAACGGAATTTTTGAACATAATTTTAAATGTATGTATATCACATGAAGATAGTTTTAAGAGATGTACTAACATAATGAGTCCTGGTCACTTTAATAAATAAATATTTATAATTATTTTTTATTATTATAACCAACGCCAAGTCTTCCAAAAATAGTTTGAAGATTTTGCACACATATCAAAGACCGATAAAAATAAAATTATTTTATAATTTGGCTCTAATATCGTGATCTGATCATTATCAACAGGATAAAAAAGAGATGAATTTAATTGATACTTCGATTTACTGCTTAAGCGCTTTTGTTTTACTTACTAAAATTGCATCAGTAATGCGTTTCGGTTTGAAGGGTGGGGCAGCCGTTGTAACTATACTTGAGACCTTAGAACTTGTCTCGGGGTGGGTGGCGCATTTAGATGTCCATGGGCTCCAGTAACCACTTAAAACCAGGTGGGCTGTGAGCTCGTCCATCCACCAAAGCAATAAAAAAAAATTAAAATTACGTTAGTATTTTTATTTTTAAAACGAAGACATCATAATAATGCCTCCACCCCCTTGCACAATATTATCGGAGCAGAAATGATAGTACCTATCCGTGCGGGCTTACAATACAGCCTACCACGACTATCGACGAATTCTCGAGGCTTGTAAAAACCATTAAAACAATTATTGCGCAGTAAAGATTTCACTACAACAATAACATAATATTTAGAAGCTCAAAACACTTTATTTTATTACAAACGAACACGCATTAATGCTTTGATGAACAATTTTATATTAATCGCAATTGCTACAGTAACATTATCAATAAAACATAAAAACAATTGATATTCGTTGGAATAGTTTGATTAGTTTAAGTATTCGTGATTCATAAGTGTTTTGAATGAGCCTTTTATAATGTACAATACATTTAAGTCTATGATATTACGATTCGTTAAATGAAATTTATAATTTGAACTTACTTCTCCGATTGTTGTCGGGCCCTGGGCCCAATACTTTTTACCATTTTACTACGCGTTCACTTGATGTGCGAAAAACCTGGAACAACAAATGTATAATTAAAGCAATCGGTTTATATGTAGTAACAAAAATATAAAGCTGTAAATGAAAAACAAGAAGACCAGATTTAGTTGATTTATAAGATAAACGCCCTGTCTATCCCAGTCAAGCAATATGACTATGCCGTGTATTATTTGTTAACACACCGTTGTATTTTTATGTTTATTTATACCTGGTGTAAAATGATCAGCGGAACACACGTGACGTGAACGCTGCCCGGCTTAATAATTGAGGTCCAATTCTCTATCTAGCATGTACGACAGCTATCCTACCTTTCAAGATAAAAAAAAAACGGAATCGCTTCGTGGAAAATATAGCTTCAATCAAATAAAGCACGGACCTGTGCAGAGTAGTGTGAGTAGTAGGTAGTCTGTCAATCTGTCAACCCAAATATAACAAAATTGATAGAATTAGACCAACGTTTCTTAGCGAGTAACATAATATGCAACAGTGATGCTTGATAATGCAAATGATGGTAAAAAAACGAAAGCGAAAGATTGAATTCACATAAATTAATTGATCGCGAAAAATATTTGTTAAAATTAAAATATTTAATTTTCGCTAGTATTGGCAATAGCACCGTATATATACTTAATATAGTCCATAAAACTATAAATAATCCCGCGACAGATTATAAGCTTCTTTCAGGAAGGAGCTGTGAAGTAAGCTACCAATTTCCAGCTATATTTCGTAAATATGGAAAAACACCTATATATTTTAAGCAGTAATTGTGAAAATCTCTGTCGAATCACTGGTCAAGATATTAGTACAAATGACGCAATATCAATCTGCAAACGTCCACTGCTGTGTATCCTGTCCCTCAAAGCGCATAGCTATAAAAAAAGAACGCCATTATTGTTTAATTTTAGGTAACTATTTCTCGTGTTTTTATGTGTCCTACTCGTAAATTATAATCCTTTTTTTTATCGATTTAAAGTTACATTCCACTGAGTACTAATGCTGTCGCCCTTATATTCCAAACAAGGGGAAACACATACTCATTGAATAGGTAGTAGGACCGATAAGCACAAAAATATAAATGCTGATTCAACAGAGAGCATGGATAGAAAGAGAAGCAGACGAATAATTGACAAATATTAAGATTATTTGACTGCTGCAGCTAACGACCCTAGTTGCTGGACCGGGAGTCGTATGTTAAATTCTCGCCTCGAAAACATTCATGTAATGAACATGAGCTTGTTTGCTCTTTGTATGGGCATTTAATTATTTTTTTCTACCTACGCTGATGGTCTAGAGAGACCATATCAGCGTAGCCGTAACTAGTAGGTTCACGGGGCTCAAACCTGACCATGTTGTTAACAGGAACCCTGGCAAGAGCCGTGCTTCGCATCTACCACCATATCGGAAACGCGACCCACTGAGAAGATCCGGCGAGAAACTCTGTGGGCTGTGTCTGTCGGTTAATTTACTCGCCGAGCTCTTCGTCGCAAGCGACGAGTTCGACGAGAACGATGACCGGTGCTTGAGGAACCTAAAAGCACCGTCAGCAGATCGGCAGTAACCGAAATGACGTGTATCTTTATATTAGTATATACTTAAACGTACATAGGTAACTATATCAGTTTTTGTATAGAGTATACAGTCTGTCTCTGTACAATAGTACAGTCTCTGTACAATAGTACAGAGAATCCTAGTTTGCGACCAGATGACTGTGTGTGCCTTGTTCCCGGTTGTGGGAGGCTTAAACGACGAAAGGAAAGATATTCCACCGAGCGGGTGATATTTGCTCGGTAGACTGACGGTCCGAATGTTGTTGTTCGGAGCTTGTATATATGCAAGCTTAACTTGTCGTAAGCGAGATTCAGGCATCTGTCAAATATCTTGCGTTGTATGATGGCTACCACCACACGGTTATTATTGTTATTGATTCTACAAAGCCGAAGTCGCATGCCTGTATCTCCAAACTGGTGATAGAAGGTCAAAACGTAGAAGTTGTTCTTTAAGAAGCTATATGTACCTGACTGTAGGATTGGAACCCTGAAATAATAGTATTACTCTTTGCTAATACACTTTTGGCGGTTACATTGGTGGTGGTTATTATTGGTTCAGGGCGTTATCGCAAGTGAGATAATTATAACAATTAAATAACACAAATGGCTAATCCGAGCATTTATTCGCGATTGAACTTAAAAAGTAAAAAGCAACGGAGCTTGCGGGCGCAGCCGCATGTTATGACTACGCACAATTTTGTTTACATAACAACCTGTGTCCCTACACACTAGACGTCTGACTGGTATGAAAAAGTTTGTTTTAGGGTCGCCGTTTGGAAAAGAAAAAAAAACTTATGATGAAAATGCACACGCGTTTTCTGTGGCCTTATGCTATTTACAATCCCACCTCATAAACATTCCAGAACATTAGAAATTCAATTCAAAAAGCTATGTCGATTTAAGATCGGTATTGAAAATACATCTCTAATGGATGGTGAATGTAATGGCATGTTTTTTTTTTATTGCTTAGATGTGTGGACGAGCTCACAGCCCACCTGGTGTTAAGTGGTTACTGGAGCCTATAGACATCTACAACGTAAATGCGCCACACACCTTGAGATATAGTTCTGAGGTCTCAGTATAGTCACAACGGCTGCCCCACCCTTCAAACCGAAACGCATTACTGCTTCACGGCAGAAATAGGCAGGGCGGTGGTACCTACCCGCGCAGACTCACAACAGGTCCTACCACCAGTAATTACGCAAATTATAATTTTGCGGGTTTCAATTTTATTACACGATGTTATTCCTTCACCGTGGAAGTCAATCGTGAACATTTGTTGAGTACGTATTTCATTAGAAAAATTGGTACCCGCCTGCGGGATTCGAACACCGGTGCATCGCTTCAACACGAATGCACCGGATGTCTTATCTTTTAGGCCACGACGACTTCATATCGCCTATAACTCCCAACACCGCTTACTGAAATATTCTGAACGATGAAGTTTTGGTAATCTGAGATAATTTCTCTTTAATAAAAATTATCATTTCATCATTATCATTTAAGTTATAAATGACAACATTTAAACATTTAAGATATTTATAGCACTTCAAACCGAAATTACAAAAACAAGTATTCAAGCGACATTTTAATGTCGTATTTCCAGTATAGGTTAATTATTACCAGAGCTATATATGTAGAAGATGCACTTTATTGTAAAATAAAAGTAAAAAAACCTTTTTTTTTATTTTCACTGGATGGGTGGACGAGTTCACTGCCCATCGAGCGTTAAAAATTGCTTGAACCAAATAGACATCACAACGTGATTGTCGTCACCCATCAAAACAGATGAGGTCAAAATCTCAAAAGCATTTTATTACGACTCTCCTACCCTTAAAACCGAAACAGAAACGGTTAGTAAGTTTAACGAATACTCCAAAATTTGTATTTATGAATTATTGTACGTCTTCCAAATATTTTGAAAAATCTGTTTAACAATCCCAGCCAAATCCGGGTTCTAACGTTGTTCTCAGACCTAGAACCAGAGCCGGAAAACGTTGTAAAGTACCCAACGGAGAAAAATACTTATTAAGATTATTAAGAGATTATTAAGATACTTACAAATAAGATTGTTTAAAAAAAAAAGATTTATTACTATTTCCATTCAGTATTCAACGGAGTAATATAAGAATTTGCGTCGCACATTAAAACCGTTGGTTTGTTAATAGTATTTTAATATCAAGGTAAATCTGAGATATTTTCGACTGATAAATCAGTCTTATATGTCAAGGATGCGATGACTTCTTTCATAATACGGATAATAAATTTGCATTTTACGAATCGATAAACTAGCGTATCTCTAGATTGTTGGATAGTCAAATTTCTTAACAGTGCATGAAATCTAGTCGTATTTCAGTAGCGTTGCTAATAATTTTAATGAAATTTTAATAATAAAACTAGGTAAAAGCATATCTATGAGATTAGTTTCTGAAATAATATCGAATAACTTCATCGCTGGTTGTATTTTGTTTGTCCAATTATACATATATATTATTTTATTTATACAGTCAGGTCATAAGTATTGTCACACAGTAAAACACTTTTCTTTTAGAATGCTGGCCACAAAAAAGTTCATTGAATTCGAATTTCGAATTGTTCATGAAAATAAAAATGTATACTTTTAGAATTTTACTCATTTTTAAATATGGAGTGGACGCTTAAAGAAGACCGTGTTGCAGTTATTGCGTTGCATCGTTGCGGTTACGCGCCAATTCAAATTTTTAACATACTGAAAAATTTTAATATAACCAAAAGATTCGTTTATCGTACCATCAAACGATACNTATAAGAACGATTAAATATTTTTCTTTGACATGTAATATTTTGTTTGTACTTTATAATATTAAAATAACATTTTTTATTTTCTATAATATTGCTATGAACGTAATAAAATAATTTTTTTATTGGATATCTTAAAAGATCACAATAGACTAAGCACTCTATCTCGCTCACACCCGCTTGAACAGTTGCTACCTCGCGCTCACACCTACAGCGGGCTCTCAATGTGTCTGGCAAGATGTAAGAACCATTAAAACTGTCCGGCTATTGGGGTAACATATTTTTATAAGTCCCTCCCTAAGTAACATATATAAAATTTAGCTTTTATAGTATAACGAAAGTATAATTAAAATTTATTAAAGTTTAGGGGTGTCTGGCAGGGGGTAACAACTGGAAAAAGTGTCCGGCAACGGATATCATGATTTCTAAAGATATTCTGGAGCAAATATTAAAAAAAAAAACCTTTATACTTTAACGAATTTAAGGTACTATTTTATATACCTTTACCGCCTGTTACCTGCCCAAGTAACCACAATCGTAACTCTATAATCGCGAGTCGTTCTTACCTGTGTTGGAGACATACACAGAGAAACTTTCAGCTTTTATAAAATAACGAAGGTCTGGCTGTCGCGGGCTCTTGGGCTAATAGCTTCAATCAAATAAAGCACGGACCTGTGCAGAGTAGTGTGA